ATGGGGAAGGAGTGAGATAAAATGCCAAGAATGTAGCTGTCAACAAAATCCTGGGAGGTAGTTGTGTACTTTGGAGTCTTATTGTCTGAAATCCAGAGTTACCAAGCTTCAGATTTCCTTCGTTCCTAGCTCAGGGGCCAGGCTGGGAGATGGGGTGCTTCGTTGGTTAAAGGAGTTGTTTTTATGACCTTGCACTCCTTCTCTGTGACCCACCGACAGGTGTTATCCATCTCAGATGTGTACAAATAATGCCTTTGAGCAGAGATGGTCAGTGTAGACATTTTGGCCCTTCCAAACTCGAATATTTGATCCTTTGGTTTTCAAAACTACCATATTATTCATTTTCTATTTGTTTCAGAATTTTGTGAGTGTAAATAAGGATGTAGTTTAGGACTTACAGTTTATTTATTTTGTGTCTATGAAATAATGACAGTGAATTTAGAAGTTTACTAGTATTTTAAAATGTTTTCTATTGCTTCAAAAGAGCTGAGGTCACCCGAAGAAGTGAGGACATTAGAAATTACCCAATGTGAACACATATATAATATTCAGAATATATATCATATATAACATATATGTGTGTATTCTGTAAGTGAATGGAGATGGATAAAAAAATTAAATAGTCATTTCTGTACATTAGAAACTCAGAAGTGCATAAGTCGAGTGATTTTTTGTAATGGGGAGAGAAATAATTTTCATGTAAGCTCGTGCACTTTCTTTGGAATTTTTCTTGTATGATTGATTTAAAGATGAGCAGACTCTGGGTGCTTTTTCAAAGCGCAGGAAACACCTGCCACAGATAGACTGAGACAATAATTTCTTTCCGGGGGAAAGGGGAGGCATTGGAGGGCGGAGCAGAGCTCCCCATCTCCCACACCTACCTGCACACAAGTGCTAGCTAGAATTGCTCTTACTAACCCATTAATGCCCCCACAGGGTGGGGGGTTCTGCGAGAGGCTGCTGCTGCCAGGCCTTTCTAAAGTTCGGGCCTTCCCTCATTTACTGGGTTTCCTTCTGCTGAGCTGAATTCAGGAGATCTAGTAGTAGCTCTTTCAAGCAGTTACTTTTAAGAACAAGGATTAATGTTGGCATTAGTTAAAAATATTAAGCTGACTCATGCCAGCATGCACTCTCTCTGAACTTGGAAGTGGTAACTCTTCATGGCTTAATTTTGGTAATAAAGCACTTGGTTTTGTAGATCTTAGTAATAATAGCTAGGCTTTATTGCATGCCTGCTCTGTACCAGGCCCTGTCCAAACATTGTGTCTGTTTTTCTAGAGGCAAGGTAGTTGTTATTATTCGTATTTTATAGATGAGCTGCTGAGGCTCAAAGAAAAGAAGTGAGTTTCTCAAGACCTTGTGGCTGGTAAGGGGCCGACTTTGGTATTTTCACTTTCATCTTCTTATCATGGGTCACACACTGCTTCTCTTAGAATTCGGTGTGGCCAGGATTACGTGAAGGGTTTTTAGTAGGGAAAACAGATTTTCAAATTCCTGTCTGTTCCTTTGTTACTGTTGGGATGATCAGTTGGTCTTCATGGCTTGTCTGTTTCTGTTTCATTCCTCTTTTTTCTCATGTTAAAGTGTGTGAGAGAGAAGGAACAAGTGTGTGTGAATTGTGTGTCCTCCCCGTGGGTCTGTGTGTATCTGGGAGAGGGAGGAAGGAAAGGGGTTGATGCCACCTCTCACAAGCGCAGGACTGAGGCTGCTCGCTTCAGTCAAGGCTGGTTGTGATGAAAACCTCCATGGAGTGGAACGCTTCCACATAAATTTCAAAAAAAAAAAAAAAAAAAATCCTTGGCCCAGAAGACTATCAGTTTTTTATTTTTATTAATTTCTTAATGTTTATTTCTCTTTGAGAGAGAGCGAGTGGGGGAGGGGCAGAGAGAGAGGGAGACACAGAATCCGAAGCAGGTTCCAGGCTCCCAGCTGTCAGCACAGGGGCTGACGCGGGGCTTGAACCCATGAACCGCAAGATCATGACCTGAGCCAAAGTCAGACGCTCAATCGACTGAGCCACCAGGCGCCCCTATCAGTTTTTTAAATTCAAAACTGGAGTTACTGAATTGCCCAGTTATACAGCAGTAATGCTGCTTTGAATTCTTAAGTTTAGAATGGAGAGTAACAGTGCAAGAAGTGGCCACAAATTAAATGGACAGTTAAAAGAAAGGCTTTTATGAACTCTGTATATGTATTTGTAGCTTCTCTCTTTTTTCACTTTTATCTTTTTTAGATATTTGTAAAAAGTTTATTTTGAGAGAGAGAAAGAGAGCGCGAGTGGGGGTAGGGGCAGAGAAAGAGGTCAGAGAGAGAGAACCCCAAGCAGGCTCCGTGTGCTCAGCGCAGAGCCCAATGTGGGGCCCAAACCCACAAACTGTGAGATCGTGAGCTGAACTGTAACCAAGAGTCAGAGGCTCAACTGATTGAGCTACCTAGGCGCCCCTGCACTTTTATCGTTTTGCATCCTGCCTCCCCCTGCCCAGGGCATGTCTTACCAAGTAGTCCTGTATGGTAAGATCTTAGGGCGTGGAGCAAATGCAGAAGAGAGAGGTAATTGATCAAAATAATATGGAAGAGCAAGAGTGCATGAGCCTGTGAGAACAGGCTAGTGACAGGCTAAAGAACAGAGGGAAAGCATGCTTGAGGAAGTGCACAGCATAACTGAAAGAGTTTACAAAGAAGCCGTACTTGGAAGCATGTGTGGGGTGCAGAGTGTCAGTAGAGGGGGAGGCTGAAAGGCCTAAACAAGTGCTTTCTGCTCCCTGTCTTCATCGGAGGAGGGCCCTGCAAATTGGAAAGGTGACCATTCTTGAGGGGGCATTAGCGCCTAGATCAGGAGTTAGATGGGAAAACTACCCAGATCCTTCAGATGCCTAAATCAACATCCCGAGTAATGTGGGGATTTTACTCATGGTCTCAAGGCCACATTGTGCATCTTGTGAGAAAGTACCAGAAGAATGGAGATGATGCATGTCTTACTTAAGGGGGAACATTATTTTCTAGAAGGCAAAGACCTGAAGTAAGCTTGGTGTCCGTTCCTGGCAGAGCTGCGGATAAACGGCAAACCAGAGATCTTCCACGTGCTTAGGAAGGAATGTGGTGGTCACCAGGAGTCATCATGGACACCACCGAGAATGCTTGCCCAGACTGATTTCCTTTAATTACTGCTTTCCTTTATTTATTTTTTGGAGGAGGGATGCTAGATTATCAGATATACAGATTCATAACCTTACATTTCATATATGCTCATTTGGTTCAAATAATGGCTCACAAACTCATTTTTGGCAAGTATTGACTTCATCGCTAAAATACCTGAGAAATCTCTTCCGAACCTGTAAGAAGGAGGTGGCAAGCTAGTTAGATGCTAGTGTTACATAGATTCCCATATTTTGAAAACTAACCCAAAACTTTGTTGAATAATGAATGACATGGGTCTTCGTGAGGAAATGCTCAGGTAGGCACTATTACTGGCCTTATTTTTCACCAGAAAAAAAACCGAAAACCCAACAACAAAAAATTCCCAAAGAAAAAGGACACCCCTACTGTCAGATTTGCTGACAAGAGACGGGGAATAGCTGACAGCAAAGTGGAGAGACTAAAACTTCAAATCATTTTGTTGGCTTTTTATGATTACATTGTTAGCTATAATTGTTAGCATAACTAGGCAAAATTTAATATTTGTAAATATCAGTCTTGAATTTATTACAGCAGTCATTTAAGCAATCGATATGAGATAGGGGAAATGTAATTTAGAGGTAGTTATGGGAATTTTGGAGTTTTAGCTAACCATAAATAATAATTGTGACTAATCTATCTATAAACAAACAAATAAAAAAAGAAAAAAAAAACCCACAACCTATAATAAGAAAAGTAAAACTGAAACAACTTTAGGTGGCATTTTATCAGTGGAATAGCCATACGTGAAACAGCAGGTTCTATCTTGACCATTCACTCCAGCATTATAAGGGGAAGGGTAGTTGGTTCTGTGTGGCATGTTGCAAGGACATTAAAAAATTGATTTAGTGTCCTGAGCATGTTGATGAGTGTGGTGAGTGCCATAGCTGGATCTCATGTTCTAGAGACATCATTGAAGGAATTTGGAATGCTTAGCACCAATAGGAGACTAAGGGAAGACACAGTGGCTGCCTTTAAATCGGAAGGTCATCTTTGAACAGGAACGTAAATGTATCTCCATCCTTAGGGCTGAACGAGAAGCAAAGAATTGACAGGACATAAGGGAACAAGTTCAGCTCCACATCAGGAAAGCTAACAAGTGAGCCTGGCCAGTGACAGAATGAGAGGCCATGGGAAGAAATGATCATAACTTTGCTCTCGTACTGGAGACCACACTGCACCTACCTGATTGCATTAATGGCCCAGTTCCAATGTTACCGCCTCTGTTTCTCCCTGCAGCATGTTCTCTTTCTCACTTGTTTCTGATCCGCAGTACCATACACTGTAGGGATCTCAGTGGGTGCCTAGGAAATATTGGGTGAAAGCCATGCAGCTGACCTGTGGACTCTCTTGGGTTCCTAAGTCACACAGTGCCCAGCATAGAACTAGAGCCATCGATTGTGTTCCCTCCACCATGCTATTGATTTCTTCCTGCTTTGAGTAGCTAGCTTTTAGAGAAAAGTTGTTCTAAATCATAGGAGAACAAAAGATTTTTTAGCTAATTACACCTAGAAAAGCATTTTTCCTGTATTTTGAATTTAATAATCATTGATATTACTCATGTTTAAGCAAAGTAGCTTGGTTCACTAGAGAGTGTTTTGAAATCTTTAGAATGATCACCAAACTGTCATCTCTTGAGGATTCTAGTCAATCATGAAGATCATTATTTTCAAATTTGGAAGATTGAAAGAAAGAAATGCAATAAATGAAAATGATGCTATCAAAGTTTTGAAAAGTTGCCTTTCTTCCAGTAGCGATAGGTCTTGAGATGCAGCGGGTTGAATGTCACTGAGTAATATCCCCCTTTGTTATTGTGTTTCATTTAGGCTGATTTGAAAGTCATTGAGAAGTGGATGGATGGTGTGAAAGACTTCTTAATGAAAGAGCAGGCTGTCCAAGGAGATGCTGAAGGGCTACAGCGTGAGCTTGACCAGTGCTCTGTGAGTTTTGCTGATTTAGGGACTCTGCTGTAATAACATATTCTTCTTTGTTATTTGCTGTTATTAAAATTGCAAAAATATGACATGACAACAAACCTAGATAAAATATCTTTCATCATAGACCTTTTTTTTTTTTAACTTTACAGTTATTAAAAGAATGACTGGTTATTTATATGTCCATGTTTTGGCTAGGGTTATCGAATTCTGCATAGAGAGAATGAGAGCAATTTTAATTCATTAGGAGCTGCCATTTTATGTTCTGGTGACAATTTTAGTGTCATAATTACCAATTTTATATTGCTCTTATTGTGCCACCTGGTGAGGCTTAAAGAAAAACATATTTAACATGTGAAATTTACCAGTAATACTGCATGCAGTTTGTATTTGGTGAAATCATTAGGCTTCTCTGAATTAATTGAGAGGACCATTCCCTGCCGAGAGTCAAATATTTCCAATCTAATTTGGCAGCTGGCTATATGAAGTGCACAGGTGAAATGAATTTCTCAAGGCGCAGTATTGCTTAAGTAGTTAAAAGTCCTGACTCTCAAGTAGTCTGTTTTTATAGTATTTTCAGCGATGCAAGCAGACAAGTTATAGTTATGGCATCCACTTATATAGCAATGAACTCAACACTGGCTTGTTTTGTGTGTTCAGGCCTTTGTTAATGAAATAGAAACAATCGAATCATCTCTGAAAGACATGAAGGAAATAGAGGCCGACCTTCGAAGCTATCCAGTTGCTGGAATCAAAACTTGGATACAGACAAAACTAGTTGACTGTCAAACCCAAGTGGAGAAATTCAGCAAGGAGGTAAGTTTTTCAACCTTGCTATCTGTGTTTAAGAGCCAGATAGCTTTTCTTCAGTGACTGAATTCATTTTATAGCCCATCCAGTTTGAGGAACAGTGGTCTAGAATAACTGTAGCATGGTGGCAGGTTGGGGCAAAAAGTGGATTTTTCTTTTCATTAGGGGAGTGTACTAATTTTCTAGTTTGGCTGCTTGGTGGGAATGAGCTTGGGTGTTCAACAAAGACCTAGAAAGGCAGAGTAGCTGGAACAGAATGAAGAGAGGAATTAGCGGGTGGGTAAGATTTGAGGTCAGAATGCAGGTGGCATGAATAGTATATGGCCTTTGAAGCAAAATTTTAAACTTTTATTTCAGGTATGATTTCACACAGAAAGCAGAGGGTCTTAAGCAGGGAAGTGATATTACCACGTGGATAATTTACTCTGGGAAAGCAAGAGTGAAAACAGATATTTAAGAGGTTATTGTTGTCTTGGTCCCTCAGACTAGGGAGATTGTGGTGGATGTCATGAGGAATGTTAGGTTTGGACTGTGTTTTGAGAACAGAGATAAGAGTCTAGTAATGGATTAGATGTGTGATCTTGAAAAGGGAGTAGTCGGGAACAGCCGAGGGTCCGTGCAAAGCTTCCACTTTGTATGGATTGTGCTGCTGTTGGCTGAAATGGTGGAGACTCGAGGAGAAGAAGCTTTTGTGAGGGCAGGTGAAACAATGATTTCCATTCTGGCAGGGTTAAGTGTGAGATTGAGACACGTAGATGGGGCTGTTCAGCTCTTTCTGCTGGAAAGAGGAAAGAGCAAGGCCAAGGGTGCCGAGAAGGAAGGGTCAGCCAGAAGAGAAATGCCAAGAGCCTGTGAGGTCTTGGGGCCAGGTGGAGAAAGCTTTCCATGGTGCCCAGTACTGAGGATCTTTGAGCCCAAGGAGCACTGAAAGTCAGGCTTTTGATCTAACAAGATGGAGGCTTTAAATGACCTTGAGAAAAGTGGATCCAGTGGCATGGCAGGCCAGAAAGTCACATTGGGGAATGTTGAGCAGACAATGGGAAGTGAGCGATTGGGTCAAGTAGTAGCAACTTGGAGGAATTTTGCTATTTTTCTATTCGAGGGAGCAGAGAAATGAGGTGGGAGAGGGGACCTGGGGATCCAAGGAGGTATTTTTGTAATTTTAATTTTTATTATTTATTTATTTAAAGTTTATTTATCAAGAGAGAGAAAGAGAGAGTGAGAGAGAGAGCAGGGGAATGGCAGAGAGAGGGAGAGAGAGAATACCAGGAAGGTTCTGCACTGTCTGCACAGGGCTTGATTCCATGAACCGTGAGATCATTACTTGAGCCAAAGTCAAGAGTTGGATGCTTAACCGACTGAGCCATGCAGGTGCCCCTATAATTTCTAGAAATAAGGGATGTTATAGGATATTTGCATGCCCAAAAAGAAGGACCTTGCTTGGAGAAGATAATTTCTGGAGTGAAGTCTGTCATGTGTGAGAAGGCCAAGAGCCCCTCTACCAGTGAAAGAATTGCTGTTGGATAGTTTCTCCATGGAAATGGAAGGAAGGCAACTCTGGGTACAGTAGGAGATCGATGTAGTTTTACGATTGCTTCTGCTTTGCTAGTGAGGTTACACAAAGCCGAAGTGGGTGCAGAACGGGGAAGTGGGAGGAGAAGGTGTGAATGCAGAAATGTTCCAGACAACCCTGTAGATGGTACCTATCTCTTCATGTGATATTTTTTGGTTAATGCTTATGTAGGAAAGACTTATATTTGCATCCTTGAATGTTTTGTTTTCATTGTTTTCCCCCAAATTCCTTACTCTGAATATGTCCAAACTTCAAGGAAGGTTTAGATAGTGGTAGAGGGAGCAGCCGTGGGCCCATTCCTTAATTTGCTGGTTGTTAACCTTCTCCCACATTTGCTTTCTCTCTCTCCCTCACTCTCTTCACACATAACACACAAACAGGTTTTTTTCCCCCTAAAAATGGACTTTTGACAGGAATTTGAAACTATCATGACACTTCCTCCCTGAATACTTTAGCATGAATACTAAATACTAAATACTTCACTCGTGAATAAAGACAATCTTCTACGAAACCACAAAACCATTGCCACACTTAAGAAAGTAATTCCATACTGTCATCTTTTCCGGCCAGGTTCAAATTTCTCTAAGTGTGCTATAATCTGATGGTTTGTGCTTGCATTTATTGAGATTTGGGGGCAAGTAAATAAGGAAAATGGTTTAAGAGTGCCAGCAAGTAGGAAAGAAAGCAACCGCTAGATACGTACATACATACGTATAGACATAGATATTTAAACCTATGCATCTATCTACATACATACATATGTACATACAGATAGGACAGCAAAGAAATAATTATGAATTACTGTTGATTCATTGTATGAGAGTAAATGTGTGGGGAATTTTTAAGTGTCCTCAGCACGGAGGCAACCATGTGTTGTGTGAGTAATTATCTAAAGCAGTTCCAGAGTATTGTGTTTCATTAAGTAGTATAAAGGTGTAGATGTTTGGGGCAAATATAATGTGGCCAAATTTTTATTTTGCTAAGAAAGGATGGACATATGAAATCAACCAACAAATAAAAACAGTCTGTCTCATCTGTTATGTCCATGATGCCATGAAACGAGGAACATTTTAATGCCAAAAGATAGTAAATAATCTCAGGATAATCAATTATAGTTTTGAGCTTTTTCTTTTTTCTTTTTTTTTTTTTAAAGTTTATTCCAGTGTCTTTCTTTTTCTCATTTCTCTCTGGATCTGTGAGAACTATATAATTGTCCAGTGTCTGCAAACTACTAGTAAGGAGAATTTTCTGAAAGTGGAACCCAAGGAATCTGTATTTCTATGTATTTTTAAAAACAGCCGTCCCGTGTAAAGTGCTAATCACCAAGACTTAGGAACCAGGGCTGTGTGTATGGCTGGCAGTAAGCTCCTCAAGTGCCATGTGGGGCAATGAAATCAAAGCTCCTGTTTGGCCCCACTTATTTATTTAAAAAATTCTTTTGAGTTTGTTTATTTTTGAGAGCATGAGAGAGCGTGAGCTGGGGAGGGGCAGAAAGAGAGAGACAGAGACAGAGACAGAGACACGGAATCTGAAGCAGGCTCCAGGCTCCGAGCTGTCAGCACAGAGCCCAATGTGGGGCTTGAACCCCTGAACTGTGAGGTCATGACCTGAGCCAAAGTCAGATGCTTAACCGACTGAGACACCCAGGCGCCCCTGTTTGGCCCCTTTCTATTTTTATGGCTCTGATCCTGCTTGGAGAGTGGGAACAGGAGAGCCTCTAAGGATTTTGCCTTTCTCTCATGAGAGCCATCCTGTTTCTACACTGGCTTTTGTTCACTATCAGCTTTGCAGCTGAGCAAGCCTGGCAAGGTGACTCTGAGGTTTGATTTGAGTCAGAGGAATATCGAATAATGAAGTGAACACTGGGTGATCTCTGTGGGATGGTACCTTCTCCCACTGTGGACGTCAGTTTGTGGTTGGAGGGAGGACCTCTCAACATATTTTTAAATGAAATGTTTGGTTATCAAATATTTAAGTTATTGAATGAGATACAGATCATACCTGTTTTCCTAATGTAACTTTTTCTGTGTCTTTGTGCAATATACAAGTATAGTAGATTATCAAAACCAAAATTTTGTACAGCAGTGTTTTATAGGAGAAAACCAATTCTTTGGTTGCTTCCAGGTTTTTTTTTTTCCATAATAAACAATGCTACAGTAAATTTCCTTAAAATATATGCTTTTATTGTTGCAGGTTAGATTCCTTCATTTGAGATTACTCTGTCAAAAGTTATACATTTTTAAAATTATAATAAGTATTTCCAGGTTAGATTAATATCCAACATGTGGTGTAGAGTTATAATTATTATAATTATTGTTATAATTATTGTTTTCATTGTTGCTTATATTCTACAACATCAGCACAAAATGTATAAAGGATTTTATCTGAATGTGAAAACAAGGCTCTTTGTGGAAAGTTATCACTGTGTCCTTAGCTATTGGAAACTAGAACTTGACATTTAATGTTTCAGCATTTGTTTATTTGGGTGAATGGCTTTTCCTTTCCAGATTGCTATTCAAAAAACTAGGTTGTCTGAAAGTCAGGAAAAAGCTGTGAACCTGAAGAAAGACTTGGCAGAGATGCAGGAATGGATGGCCCAGGCAGAAGAAGAATACCTCGAGAGGGATTTTGAGTACAAGTCACCAGAAGAGCTGGAGAGTGCAGTGGAAGAAATGAAGGTGAGTCTAGGCCGGTCAGTGCCCGTGTCAATAGGCTTCGTAGCTCCCCTTGTCCCTTACATACGAATGAATAAATGAATGAGTGAATGAGTCTGTCTGTCTGTCTGTCTATCTATCTCTCTATCTATCTATCTATCTATCTATCTATCTATCTATCTAGCATCTGTAAAACATGGTATGTACATATAATCTTTCATAGTTAGATTTCAATTTGAAAAAAAAAAAAAAAAAAAGGAAGGATAGCTACTATGACTCTAGTAGGGAAAGGAAGGCCACACTCCACTTGTTCACTTTCGCCCATGGGTTGAGTCCACGAAGGCCCCTGAGACAGTCTCTTCCATTAGAACTTCAGGGAGCCACAGAGGATGACTCAAAAAGTTAGTTTTATCAGCTATGTTCACAGTGTTGTGCAACATCAGTGCTATCTCTTTCCAAAAGTTTTAAGGGAGAATCATTTTTTTTTTATTAGGAACAAGAGTGACTTCCCAAATTGGTTGTGGTTTATCTTCATTTCATCAAATGTATTCTTTTGGTTAATACATGGGAAACACATGGATATCAAAATTTTGGTAGAGCAGGTAAGAGTAGCAGTAGGAGCATTGTTGAGGGATTTAATATCAGTTTGGTCCACAGGACATATTTCCTGTAAAGTTAGATTCCTGTGTCATTAGTCTTGAACACTTTCTTTCTTCTTCTTCTTTTTTTTGTATAGTAAAAGAACTGGGCATCATTCCCAAATTTCTAACATTGCTTCAAGTGTCCTTCAGTGATCACACCAAAGGAGATAGAGTCTTAAAGGCTATTTAAAAAAAAAAATAAGAGTAAGCCACACATTGACTGTTTTATGCCAAATTTAACTTGCCTAAAAGTATAACTAAAGCAAAAATCTCTGTGCAGATATTTTAAAAAAGGATTATATTTCATGAGTGCATTATTGAATATGAATCAAAGCAAATACAATAAGGGACTTTGACTGTTCTTGTATGTGGTTATTTTCACTGAAGCATCTTTTTTAGTGTACTTTTTTTGGAAAGCTTTTTAAATATTCAGTATATAAGATATTTTAAAGGTAGCCTACCAGGTTAAGAATGGTCTTATTTATTTTCTTTACATTATTGGCATTGCAGTTCTGTGGTATTTCAAAGTCATTAGAGATGAAAGCTTAGAGAAATAAGTTTTTAACCCTTGATTGGGCAACGTTCCATCTATTTTTATTGTAACGACTGTTAGAATTTTAAAACCACTACATGTAATTAATTACTTTACTTGCAACTGAGGGAAATTTAAAACCATTTAGTAGTAAAGAAAGCTAAAAGGGGAAGTGAAAGGCATTTTAGGTTGATTTTCCTAAATGTGAGACTTCATTGCCAGCCTAGAGGGAGAGTCAGGAAAGAAGCTATTTCTAGATTAGATCCTCCTAGTATAACTTCTATCACTCTTGAAATGCTGTTAATTATCAGAAGCATAGATAAACCTCTGTTCCAGGAGAAAAGAAATATGTTTAAATTATTTTTAAATGATACCTCTACTATGGTGCACCTTAGTTTTTGTGAAAATTTATTTATCTCACTCAGTTTAGTATGCTCAGACTTCCAGTGTTAAAATGAGCTCACTTAGATTCTTATCATGGGCCCAGACTTTGAAAATACCTACTGTTGGCAAACATAACTGAGCGTGACTTAGGTGTGTTAACATTGCTTTTTATTTTTATTTTTATTTTTTATAAATCTTACAGTTAGCCTTCTTATTTCAAAAGCACTCTCTGGAATGATTACCTAAATAATGTTCCAATTAGGTCGTTAGAATCATGTCGGCATTTTAATTTTGGTTTAGTTATCTTTGAAAAAGGAAAGAAATTGGTGACTGAGAAAGGGACACAGTTTCAAGTTCATCCTTTCTTGGAACAGAGGGCAAAAGAGGATGTGTTGCAGAAGGAGGTGAGAGTGAAGATCCTCAAGGACAATATCAAGTTACTAGCTGCAAAGGTGCCCTCTGGTGGCCAGGAACTGACATCTGAGCTTAAAGTTGTGCTGGAGAATTACCAACTTCTGTGTAACAGAATTCGAGGAAAGTGCCACACGCTAGAGGTATGTTAATCAGTGATGTTTTTGAGATCAAACTCTGTAATTTACTGACCATTTCCATATCTTGGAAAAAACTAAAAAGCTCTATTTTTCTTTTCCAATACGGGATCATAAAGGAAAAGTCATTCCTGGATAACAGTTGATAAAAAGGAAACTGGGATTAAAAAAAAGAAATAGGAAACCACGATCTGCCTTCAGTTAGTAGAAGGTTCTTGGGAAAGTTATTTCATATATTTAGACTTTCCTTTTTTTATATGTGAAATCAAGGTTTTCATATTTCAGATGATCTGTAGGGTCTGTTCCAATTTCTAACATTCTAGAACAATGTACTGTGAGCCTTTCTTTTGTTTTGTTTTGCCTGGTCAGTACACAGAGATGAATTGAGGGTTTTTTTTTTTTTTTTTATTTCATTTCAACTGGGTGTCTGAAGTTAGAGAGTCACCTGACAGAAAGAAGAACTTGAATGTGCTGGTATTTTGCTGGACTATTTTATAACTCTTGCCATTGGTTGAAGATGATTCTATTAATTTTTTTTTAAATAAAATTAAGGTTTTGCTTGCTTGTTTTTATATCAGTGTGACTTTCCTTGCATTTTACTGAAAAGATGTAAGCGTTTTGATTTATAAAAATTAAATTTAACTTAAGCCTAAAACAAATGATTGTATTGTAGTAAATCCTAAAATGGTAAACAATCACAGCTGTGATATTTAAACTAAATTCACTCACTTCTTGCTTTTTCTGAATCTGTTTTGTGCTAAGATAAATATGTATAATTCAGGATGGTTAATAAGAAAACTTCAAGTCAAATAAAACCTCACTCTGTAATATTAATACACTGTTGACCCTTAGAGAGTGTGGGGGTTAGGAGCACTGACCCCCCCAACCTCACACAGTTGAATATCTATATATACTTTTGACTCCCCCAAAACTTAACTACTAATAGCCTGCTGTTGACCAGAATTCTTACTGATAACATCAGTGATTAGCACATGTTTTGTATGTTATATATATCATATACTATATTCTTACAATAAAGTAAGCTAGAGAAGAGAAAATGTTATTAAGAAAATCATAAGAGAAAATACATTTATAGTACTGTGCTTTAAGAAATCCATGTATAAATTGATTCATGCGGTTCAAACCTGTGCTGTTTAAAGGTCAACTGTATTATCTAACATAAAATACCTGAGGTCACTCAATTGAGAATTTAAAATTTAAAATTCTGTAAACATAATATGTAATGTTATGTATGCCCAATCTTGAGTCCTAGTGGATGATCTTGGACTTGAATTTTACTGTAGTTTTGTCCATGTTTTTGCTTTCCTGTTTATTTATAGGCAAAATAACAACTCATAATATATTTAAATAATGAGTGAAATCCCCAAGTTATCCTAAGCTAATGAAAGACCACCAGGTATTCTGTGTCATTTCTTCACATTGTGTTTATGACCCAAAGGTGACAATTTGAGAATGAGGAATAAAATACGTATGTTGAGAATTTGGAATTGCTTTGAGAATTACTTTGGGATTAGTTTGAGAGAATTATTTTGAGAGAAGAGAAGGAAAAATGTCAGGAAAAATGATAAGAGAGAAAAGATGAGGCCTTGGTATCTTTAAAGGGGAAGATGAAAAGATGGAAATAAAGCTTAAAAATTGAAATGCTCTAAAAATGATGTCCAAGATGACTAAGGGGTCTGGGCAGAAATAGTCCAGAATCCGAAGTTTGGATAAGAATGCTTTTCTTCGGCAGAGTCCAACATTATTACCTTGATTATTTTTAGATTCCTTAACATATTTTTTAAATCATGAGATATTTCAAACTTCTAGAAAAGTACAGGTAATACTATTAATACCTATTTACATATCCTTCAGATATTAATGTTAACATTTTACCCTATCTTTCCAGATCTTGTTTTTAAAATAAAGCAAATTAGCATTCAGACTATATTTCCTTCTTTCTATCCCATCTCATGTCTCTCAATCCCTGTCTTTAAGTAATCATCATCCCGGAGTTAGTATACATTCTTCTCATCCATGTGTTTATATGTTTAATATATACACTTATGTTATCACTTGCTCTGTAACACACCTCACTGATATATAGAGCTTTATAAAAACAACCATTTATTCAGAAAAAAAAAATTTTTTTAATGTTTTTAGTGTTTAATTCGTTTTGAGAGAGAGAGACAGAGTGAGGTGGGGGAAAGGGAGAGAGAGGGAGACACAGAATCCGAAGCAGGCTCCAGGTTCTAGGCTGTCAGCACAGAGCCCAATGCAGGGCTCGAACTCATGGGTCACGAGATCATGACCTGAGCAAAAGTCGACACTCAACCAACTGAGCCACCCAGGTGCCCCCCAAAATGACAATTTATTATTTTATTATTCATGATGCTGTGGGCTGATTTGGCCCAACTGAATGGCCCTTCTGCTCCTATACCTATGTGGTATAGGGAGAGCTCACTCGGATAGCTGTGTTCAACTGGGAGCTCCGCTGGGGCATTCACGATGGCCTCTCCTCCTGCAGGTCTTTCTCCACATGGCCTGTTTTATGGCTTCTGGGCACTGGGCAGCTGGTTTTTAAGAGGGAGAGAGCAGAAGCTGCTAGTCCCCTGAGAGGCTAGGTCTGCAGTTTGGTAGAGCATCACCTGTGGAACATTCTTTTGTTCTAAGCAGGTTGCAAGGCCAACCCACATCCTAGGGGAGGAGAAAACAATGTCACCACTTAATGGCAGTAGCAGCAAAAACTGTGTGGTTATCATTAGTCTGCCATGGTTATCATTAGTCTATCATTAGTCTCTGGCCATACATTAGTTCCATTCTTCGCTAATGCAAAATGCACTTAGACTCTCAGGGACTCCCAAAGTCTTATCCAGTACAGCACAAGCTCAGAATCCACTGTCTTGTGATCCACATCAGGTCCACATGCAGATGTGGCTCCTTGGAGCAGTTTCTTCAGGTGCAGGTGTGTGGGAGCAGTGCCTCTGGATCTGGTGACCTAGGCACGAAAAAGACAAGTTACCTGCTTCCCATATACCCAACATACAATGGCAAGGATGGGCTCAGAAAAATCTCAGTGGACACTTCCATTCAAAAAAGTTGGGGGAATAGAAGGTAAATAACTGTCACTGGTAACGGTGACTCAAAATTTAATAACAGTGATTCTGGAATCCAGCCAGGCACATGTGTGTAGCCCATGCCCCACTTCAGGGGCAGGAGCCGTTGCTTGAATAGGGCCCAGTGGCTTCTTGGGAGTGCCTCTCTGGGAGCCATCTTTTCTTCCCCCCATAAGAAATAGGGTTCTTTTAAAAAAACTTTTTAAATGTTTATTTATTTGAGAGAGAGAGCAAGCAAGCAGGGGAGGGGCAGAGAGAGAGAGACACAGAATCCAAAGTAGGCTCCAGGCTCTGAGCTGTCAGCACAGAGCCCTATGCGGGGCTCGAACCCATGAACCGTGAGATCATGACTTGAGCCCAAGATGGATGCTTAACTGACTGAGCCACCCAGAAATAGGTGTCCCAGAAATAGGGTTCTGCTGGCAGCGAAGTAGATCTCAGTCTGCTTTCTGTCTGTAAAAATTAGGGGACTAGACACCTCTTTTCCCTTTTATAGTCTTAGCCAGGGGCTGGTAAATTACAGACTCGGGATTAAATCTGGTTTGTGGCCTTTTTCTGTATGGCTTGTGAACTAAAAATGGTTTATGTATTTTTAAAAGGGTGGTTCAAAAACCAAAACAACACACATACAATAAACAAAAAAGAGTCTGTGACAGAGACTGAATGTGGCCTGTGAAACCTAAAATATTTACTGTCTGGCTTTTTATAGAAAAACTTGCTGTCCCCTGACTTGGTAAACACACCCCCTGGGGAGCACGCGCTGGAATGTGCTTTCTCTTAGTGGGTCTGAAACAGAATCCACTCAGGAGGCTCCCTGCGGAACTCTTTCTCCTAAATTTATCAATTAAATAGGCTCTTCCTATAGATGAAGGGGCACTTCCTCTCATAATTTTGCTTCTAGAAAATGGAGTGTAAGTTTATCCCCCTGCCTCCCAAATTCCCCATAGGAATGGGGAATAAATGATTGTAACTAATATAGTGAGACAGTATAACTCCATTTGATTCAGATGTGACTCTCTTCATATATAGACACATACATATGAATTTAGGAGAAAATAGGAAAGAGTATACTGCAAATTGTTATATCTGTTAGCTCTGAGTTGGAATAGCATAGACCTCAGAGAGTTCTAATTTCCTCTATAATTATTAAAAAGTGTTGCAGTTATGAGTACTTCTTACTTTTCTATTTAAAAAAAACCCCAAACTAATAATGTTTCCCTCCTGGTTTCTCCTACTAATTATATAGTTTTATTTTTGGCATTTGAACAGATCCTTGGAATTTTTTTTAGTGTACAGAGGGAGGCAACCCATTTCTCTTTGTCCCATGACCCCCTCCCCTCCCAACTGGTCTAATACGATTTGTTGAAGAATCTGATTTCTTTTCACTATTAAAAAAAACCCCCAAACTAATAATGTTTCCCTCCTGGTTTCTTCTACTAATTATATAGTTTTATTTTTGGTATTTGAACAGATCCTTGGAATTTTTTTTAGCGTACAGAGGGAGGCAACCCATTTCTCTTTGTCCCACGACCCCCTCCCCCCCCCCCAACTGGCCTAATATGATTTGTTGAAGAATCTTATTTCTTTTCACTTATTTGAAATTCCATGTTCATCAGTTCCTAAAGATGTATCTAGAGATACATTGCTTATTTCAATGACTTCTTACACAATTTAACTTTTTTCCTGCCCACTGCAGGAGGTATGGTCTTGCTGGATTGAACTGCTTCACTATTTGGATCTGGAGACCACTTGGCTGAGCACTTTGGAGGAGCGGATGAAGAGCACAGAGGCACTGCCCGAGAAGACAGATGCCGTCAATGAAGCACTGGAGGTGGGAACCTGTGTTATGGGTGGTGGTTCTCTTTGTTGCCATGAGGCCAAATGAGCATTCACATGAGGAACATGGCTCTTTCTGTGGACAAACACATCGGCTTTCTTGGTAGCGTTCAGTGTGACTTCTGTCGTCTGAAGTATTTATACAATCATGTATATTTAGATTACGGTGAGCCATGAACTCAGCCTCATGGGGTGGTTAGCTGTTTGATAATTAGTACATTTAGACATTAGTGCATTTAGTAAACACCCTAATGATTTTCCAGCTTGTTTTTGCCAGTCCCCGGGTAAAACTCTGCCTCATGTTATTAGGATAATTGTTCTCTTGTTTCTTCATGAAGTTATTTTTGCTCATTGGACAGTGGCAACCACGGTGTTTTCAATGGCTCTTGCTCTGTACTCTTTAGACGTGAAAAGCTGGGGACAGGTTAGAGGGGTCAGTATGTGAGGCCTGGGATCCTGTCCTGGGAGGTTGTCCCCAGGCCTAGGCTTGAGCTCTATGAGACCAAGAAATGTGCCTGCTTTTTCATTGTTCCCAAGTTACCAGCACAGTGTGTGACACACGATAACTTAATAACTATTTCTTCAGTGGATTAAAATGTGAAGAGGGTAGCTTTGCCTAAAATAAAAGAAGAGGAAGAAGGTATTTTTCCTTTTAAAACTGAAGGGACACAGTGTGGTAATTGAGTGGGTGACTGGACTGAAGGTCAGAAATAAGTCAAATGTGGTACCTAAAGTCCAAGAGCCAGATGCTTGCTTGCTGGAGAAAAAAAGATTGATTCTCAAATAAAATAGCAGAGTGAGAGATGGAGAAATGGAGAGAGTAAAAAAAAACATGGAAAGCGTACTTTAAAAACGATTTTCCTGGGGCACCTGAGTGGCTCAGTCAGTTAAGGATCCGACTCTTGATTTCAGCTCAGGTCATGATCTCACGATTTTGTGAGTTCAAGCCCCACATTAGGCTCTGGATGGACAGCGTGGAGCCTGTTTGGGATTCTCTCTCTATCCCTCTGTCTGCCCCTGCCCTGCTGGCATGCACAGGCACGCACTCTCTCTCTCTCAAAATAAGTAAACTTTAAAAGACGTAACATATTTTCCTAATATGAGAATTAAAACACCTGCATTCTAGAAATAAAGAAAATGGAGAGATGTGTAAAACAAGATAGGCATTTTTAAACATTTTGGCATATTTCTTCCTAATTATTTGTTTTTGAAAATCTATCCACCCTGGAAGGCCGTACATTGTAGTAATGGATAAAACCCTATAGCGTCATAACATTGGAACCTTAGGTCTTTTTACTGTGTATTTTTGTACTTAACCTCTGTGAGCTTCAGGTTTCCCATTGTAATATGGGAATGATATTTAGCCCATATAACTAATTAGATTTATGTATATAAAGTGGGTACATAAAATAGCATCTAGCTTTCTGTGTATGTTGTAGAATAATGAGTACCTGCTTTAGTAATATAATCAATAACAATTTGAGATAATTTTGCTTGTATGGTATTATCTTCTGCTTTTAAACTTTGCATCACACCATGAACTTTTACCCATGTAATTAATAATTACTGAAATTATTTTTATGCAATTATAGTAACATGGATCATCATTCATACTGAGTTTTCAACTTTACATATTTATTAATGCCATGATGGGTATTTATGTAATCATCTGCCTCATTTTTTTTTTTTTTTTAATTTTTTTTTTTTTTCAACGTTTATTTATTTTTGGGTCAGAGAGAGACAGAGCATGAACGGGCGAGGGGCAGAGAGAGAGGGAGACACAGAATCGGAAACAGGCTCCAGGCTCTGAGCCATCAGCCCAGAGCCCGACGCGGGGCTCGAACTCACAGACCGTGAGATCGTGACCTGGCTGAAGTCGGACACTTAACCGACTGCGCCACCCAGGCGCCCCTCATCTGCCTCATTTTTAATCTTGCTCCTTACATAGATTTCTAGAGAATGGAATTACTTGTTTAAAAAAGTAGACATTTTAAGATCCTTGGTATATTTTGCCTCAGTAAATGCATGTATTTTTTTCTTCTCCCGTCTAGTCTCTGGAATCTGTTTTGCGACATCCAGCAGATAATCGCACTCAGATTCGAGAACTTGGCCAGACTCTGATTGATGGAGGGATTCTTGATGATATAATCAGTGAGAAACTGGAGGCTTTTAATAGTCGATATGAAGAACTGAGTCACTTGGTAAGAATTGGGACATGCAGGGGTGTTGATTAGGTGTTACGATATAGAGCTCACCTCAAGAACTTATACCAAGAGGAAGAGTTGATAACCAACATTAATAGAAGTGTTTATGGCTTTAAAATACCAAGTGGTGAAGAGTAGACCTAATACTTCAAGGGAAGCAGAACTTGACGATTAAAAAATCTGTCTTTGAGATTGTTTCTACTTACGGACTATTTAATTTCCTTTGAGGATCATGTTATAGCCATAAGTATTATAACTCACATTATACTAGTAAATATTAGGACCATCCACGTTTGACATAATTTGCTATTATAAAATGCCCTAATCCCTTAGACACCTATCCAGAATGTATCACAACATCCATGTTCATATCAGTAAGTAGAGAAAAGAGATTGTTTCTTTATAGGAGGTTTGGATGGATATTACCTGCTTTTGAACACATACTAAATAATAATGATTGATGCTTAGGTTATGAATAACATCAAGCTTACTCCAAAAGTGCAGTAGATAGTGGTTCAACATATGTGTAAATCTGTAGAACTTGACACTTTGGACAAAAAGAGATTTATATATTCATTCTACTGATAGACATTCTTGCTCTATTTTATACTGTTATTGGTAGGCTTATTGAGGATTCCTAAAAATGCCCTAAATTTGTAATAAGTGACATTTTTGTTCTCTGTTTAATGTGTTATGTGGGATATCTTTACTTTCTTTCTTTTTTTATTGAGGTATAATTGAAATATTATATTACTTTCTGGTGCACAACATAATGATTTGATGTTTATATCCATTGTGACATAATCACCACAATAAGTTTAGCTAACACCCCTCATCTCACATAGTCCCAATTTTTTTTGTGTGATGAGAACTTTTAAGATCTACGCTCTTAGCACTACCAATCTGTTCTCGTATCTACGCGCTGGTTTTTTGTTTTAGATTCCACATATAAGTGGGATTGCGTGCTATTTGTTTTTCTCTGACTCATTTCACTTAGCCTAGTGCCCTCAAGAGCATTTTTATGCTTTATCATTGTATATAGAAAGAAGTAAAAATTAATAATTCACTGTAAGATGGATCAGTTACTAGAAGAATCTTTTCACCGTTATCATTGCTAGTTATTATTTATTTAAAATGTAGGCCAGAGTTTTACACTAGGGCTTTCATAGTCTCTTTCTATTCTTGGTGGCCAGAACATAAGGGTTTCCTTATATTCAGCTCTTTATCTTTGTGCTGAGTGACTAATGATTCAATTTTTCCCCTGTGTAGGCAGAGAGCAAGCAGATTTCCTTGGAAAAGCAACTCCAGGTCCTGCGGGAAACTGACCACATGCTTCAGGTCTTGCAAGAGAGCTTAGGGGAGCTGGACCAACAGCTCACAACGTACTTGACTGACAGGATAGATGCCTTCCAGGTTCCTCAGGAAGCTCAGGTACTGCTGTGGATTTGAGGGCTTTTGAGTCATAAAAAAGGCATGTGTAACTGTTTCCTCACCTGAGAGAGAACTGGCCCCCCTTGCCGTTCCAGACCGAGTCAGTGAGAGAGGCTGACCTTCCTCACGGAGCAGGATTGGGTTCTGGAGTTCTTTTGGTCTCTGTGTGAGACCCTGGCACATGATCATCATTGTAAAATTATAGTTATGAAGTTGGAAAATTCCTTCTTTATAAATAAGTGGTGAACACTAGAAGTGACAAATGCGAAGACCTTAGTGTGTGTCCCCCCACGGTAGTCCTGCAATTCAGGGGGCCTGTGTTACTATTAAACTTACTAAAGCCTATATAGGGGTCAGCATATTCTTATGTACTGTGTGACTCTATGGGACTTTTAATAAAAAAAAAGACATTCTCCCCTTTCTAATCTCTTTGTAGAAAATCCAAGCAGAGATCTCGGCCCATGAGTTAACTCTGGAGGAGTTGAGGAAAAATGCACGTTCCCAGCCTCCGACGTCCCCAGAAGGCAGGAACGCCAGGGGAGGAAGTCAGATGGATGTGCTCCAGGTGAAGAGGGCAGGCAGCTTCTCTCCACTTTTTGATGTGTTGGGCATAAAGAAAAATTGGAAAGAGCTGATTACTTGGATGCCCTTGGTCTTCTTTGTTTATGACGTAAACAGTGGCATGGGAGTGACGTATTGGAAGTGCATTGTATCCCCGGAAGGGCAGCAGAAACAAAATATTGAATCTGATTTTATAGTTGAGTTGAGAAGAGAGAGCAAGCTAGATTTAGAAGTTATCTTTGTATAGATTTTTCCATGAACGCAAGCCTCTGTCGGTTCTGGTGTGGCTGGTGCACTGGGCTGGCTGAGAGCCCGCGATGGAGCACTGCTGAGAGTCCATTAGTGATGGAGGTGAGATTGACCGGGACTCTGAGCTTGTGGTCAAGGGCACTCTGAGTTTTAGGCTCCTGAACTACAGTTTTCAAACAGGTGAGAAAATTTGTGAAGCTTTAATTCCAGCGAGGCCAGCTTCGCCTTTTATTATATCTTCAGCCTCTACACTGTCAAGTAATTCGGGACAGTGGGCTGTGGAGTTCACTCAGGTGATTGGGAAGCCTCACTCAGTTCCTTTAAGGAATGTTTGTCTTGCAGCTTTTTCCTACAGCTTTTCAGCAGTATGTGTTGTGCTAATACCGTCTGGTGAGACAGATTGCCGTTCTGATGCAAATTGCTTATTATGTCCATTTATGCAAACAGAGGAAACTTCGAGAGGTGTCCACAAAGTTCCAGCTTTTCCAGAAGCCTGCTAACTTTGAACAGCGCATGCTTGATTGCAAGCGTATCCTGGATTGTGTGAAAGCAGAGCTTCATGTTCTGGATGTGAAGGATGTGGATCCTGATGTCATACAGAACCATCTGGACAAGTGTATGGTGAGGTCATCGGTGGATAATGTGTCCACTGGGTTTTCCAGCTGCTCTTATGGCTTCACCTAGTGCTTACATACATGGTTTATTAATAATTGCTAGTCTATATTGAGCTAAGAATACAGAGTGATGGTGAAAAACAGGTTAAAAATAAGAAGTGTGGTCCTGTCCTTCAAAGAAATTAAAAGAGATAACACAGACAGGTAGGAGAAAGTAAAAACAATTATCACAATGTAACAAGAGAAGGTAGAATAGACATGCATATAACATGATTTAAAGAAACAAGGGAAACACATCTTAATCCGAGTATGAAGTTAGGGAAGGTTTTGGCAGAATGTGACTAATAAGCTAAATTCTAAAGGATAAATTTGAGTCAGCTAGAAGAACCGTACTTAGAATAGATGTTAGGAATATTACAATGTAAAAGAAAATCATTTTTAAGGAAAGTCAAACTTAAATTTTAACTTATAAAGTTTAAGCCTAAAATATGAAAGACAAAATTATACTGAGAATGGATGTCAGGAATATTATAACATAAAAAAAACCATTCTCTAGGAAAGTAGAATTTTAAATTGACGTTTAAGCCTAAGATGTAAGACAAGAAATTATTTATAAAGCGTTATTACTATTTTAGTCTAGAACTTTATAACTCAGTTGAATAGAAATTTAAAAATAATGTGGCTAAGTGTACACAATCTTAGAATTAGTCTTCTCCTTAGGAGAGTCATGAGGAGGCTTAAGATGACCCTGGTTAAGACAAAAGTCTGGGGGAGTTTGTGCGTTTCAAAATTGCTTTCTCCATGTGTATTGCACACTGCAGGTTTGCATACTCGAAAACTGAAATGTGTGGAAGGATGAACAAATAGGATAAATGTGTGTGTGTGTGTGTGTGTGTGTGTGTGTGTGTGTGTGTGTATAAGTACGGGTGTGTGTCTGTTGTGAGTATACGTGTAAGCATTTATTTATTTAATGAGATATAGAGAGCAAAAGAGCAAGCCTTGTCCTTGACCTTATGTAACTCAGTCCACTGGTCTGTTACTATGTGACAATGCCATGTGAGATGTTTCAGGTCAAGATCACGAGTGAGAAAAACAAGAGAACTTGCCCAGGTAAAAGTTTTTAGTTTCAAGTGACTAGGATGAGGAGGCCTCTGAATTTGACCTACATCACTCCAGTTTCTTAAAGTTACATACCTCTTGCTATATTGAATTTTTATATATCTTTTCATCATATAAGTAATGCATGCTTATTGTGGTAGACTGGTACTTCAGAGAATTTTAAGAAAAAAAGTTAATGTTAATGCTTCCATTGTCAACAGCCAGAAATATGGCCAGTGTTAGCTTCATTCTAGTAAGAGCATTTATGATTTTTAAAAATGTAATTTAAGAAATGATAGACATTCAGGTTTTAGTCTTAATGTTTTTCCATTTTATGCAGGAAAAATGTTTTTATTATTCAGTACTTTCATGAACCTAGAAAACACACATTTGACTTTTTTTAAATAAGTATAATCTCTATTAGTTTATTTTCTTATCTGATTTTAAAAAGATAATACAACCTTGATTTCATTTCTCTCCTCCTTTGAACCAAATCTGAGGCAGATAAAGCCCTTTGATCTCCATAGTTACTTTGTAGCTGTCAATCTGTGGAAGCTGTGTTTTGAAATGTTTCCAATTAGCAACTTTTCACCACAGTGTGTAAAATGTGCCTTGCTCTCTTTTAAAGAAACTCTATAAAACATTGAGTGAAGTCAAGCTTGAAGTGGAGACTGTAATCAAAACAGGAAGGCACATTGTCCAGAAGCAACAAACTGACAACCCCAAGGGGATGGATGAGCAGTTGACTTCGCTGAAGATTCTCTACAATGACCTGGGTGCCCAGGTAAGGGCAGCTGCAGTGCTAGCCTGTTTCGCTCTCATTTATATATATTTAAAATCTTACTCTTAGGGGAAGGCATGTTTGAATTTTATAGCACTAATAATAGTGTTTTCTTTTTTTTTAATTTTTTAATGTTTATTAATTTTTGAGGGGGTAGGGGAAAGAGAGAGAGAGAGGCAGAGAGACAGAGAGAGGGAGACATAGAATCTGAAGCCATCCGCACAGAGCCTGACACGGGGCTTGAACTCACAGACTGTGAGATCATGACCTGAGCCCAAGTCGGATGCTTAACCAATTGAGCCACCCAGGCACCCCAATAACAGTGTTTTCAATTATTCCAGTATTTTTTTATTATATTTCATTAAATCTGTATGTTAATAAATATTACAATGATGAATGATTGTATAGAAATTTGCTTTTAATATTTAATCCAGACTCATTTTTAGATATTCTTTTTTTGTTGTTTTGTTTTAAGATTATTTATTTATTTATTTGTTTGTTTATTTTGAGAGAGAGAGCATGAGAAGGGGAGGGGCACAGAGAGAGAGAGAGAGAGAGAGAGGGAGAGAGAGAATACCAAGCAAGCTCCACACCATCAGTGCTGAGCCCGATGTGGGGCTCGAACTCATGAACCATGAGATCATAACCTGAACTGAAACCAAGAGTCAGATGCTTAACCGACTGAGCCACTCAGGCGCCCCTTTTAATATTTTCGATGGTGGTCACATTTCATAAGTTATTCTACAAAAACTCTACCAATAATAATAGCCCCTTTATAAACTCAAGTTACTGTTCCTTGGATTTCTGAATTGAATAGTCTACTGAGAAATATTAAAACATCAAGACTCTGATAAATAGTAAGTGACAGGAAATTCACATTAATCTAGCAGGATCTAAAATCCTTTCAAGAAACACCTATAATTTGGGCATCTTAGTGAATCTGTGGGGGAATTTTTGGTCATTTATTTTGAGTAACTATATTTAGCAGGTTTAATGTCTTCTCCTATTGAGAACTCTGCCCTGAAGTTAGGAAAACAAAACAAAACAAAACAAAACAAAACAAAACAAAACAAAACAATGACCACCATGTTTAAGTGAAACTTTATTGGCAATGTTGGAAAGCTGGGTTAGATAATATTTTAGGTCTTTCTTGGATTATTAAATATTACCTAAGTTTCTACATCAGCCCCGAGAACACTAGCTGAAACTTTGTTATCATTTTCAGATCAGTAAGAATGAGCAGTGCACATATTTCCTGGACAACTTTGACTTCACTTCTGCAAGATAAAATTGCTGATGTGATATGTTTGTATCATTTTGATACACTGCACATCTGGAGCACATAGTGTAGAGCTTCTTTCTGTTATTAAACACCTGAAGTTTTTTTTTTAATCAAATATTATTGTATTTATTCATCAACTAGGCATTTTATGGATGGCAGTGGTAGTGTTGCTGGTTTTAATATTAATTCTCTAGTTGTAACCATGGTTTTAGAGTTAAGTCATTTTCTCATTCAACACAGTTGAGACTTTACTGTGTGTCAGGTATCATAGAGGCAGTGGTGATACAGTGGTGAGCAAAAACATAAATTATCTTTGTCTGCTAGAACTTAGGGTAGTGAAGGAAGAAAACATTAAACAAGTAGTCATACAAAGTAATGCCACATTAGCAGTCTGAAGTGTTATGAAGGAATGTGTATGGTGCTTGAAGAGTACAGGTACTTAGCAATTTGGCCCGGTCTGGAGTTATGAAAGCTTCCTTGAAGAAGTGGTGCATAAGCCGAGATCTGAAGGATGGGTAGGAATAGCCTCCTGAAAGCAGCGGAGGAGTCTTCTAGGTTGATGGAATGGTATGTGTAAAGGCCCTGTGGCAGGAGGCAGATGGTACATCCGTGTGGCTAATGCAGAGACAGCAAGGATGGGGAACATGGTGCTGGAGTGAGGGGCGAGACGAGCACACTAGTGTCTTAGAGTTGTGATAAAGGTTTTAATCTCAAGAGCAAGCTCGTATATTTGCTTTTAAAAGGTCACTTACTGTGGTTTGGTGGATGAATTGGAAAAAGGCAGGGATGGATGTGAAGAGAGCAGTTAGGAAGTCACTGTCGCGCTCTTACTGAGAAACAGTGGTGGCGTGAACTAGGGTGGGGCAGTGGAGATGGTGGGGGTGAATTGACTCAGACATATTTAAGAAGTGAAATGAATAGGACTTGGTGATGGGTTAGATGTGGGAGTACAGGGGAGAGGGAGATGAAGGATGACCCCTAGGTTTCTAGCTTGGTTACGTGGGAGATCATGGTGCCATAATTGGGAGGAGGCTCTGGAAGGAAAGGCAGAAACATGGAAAAATTATAAGCATGTATTGGGCATGTTCACATTTTAAGTGCCTTTGTGAGAATGAATTAAATATATCAGACACTCACAAAGTTATTCAAGTCTGGGGAATATATCTGGGCTGACGCTAGGAATTTTATGAGTCATCTGCATAGAGATGGTAATTAAAGTTTTCAGTGATGAGATTGTCTAGGGACAGGATATAGTGTGAAAGAAAAGCCTATATGAGCCACAAAATAAAAAATAAATGAGTGGGATTACAGCACACTTGATCTTAGCCAAAAGGCCGAGAAGTGATTGAGTGGGACTACATTAAACCAAAGAGCTCCTGCACAGCAAAAGAAACCATCAACGAAATGAAAAGCCAGCCTACAGAATGGGAAAAAAAAATGTTTGCAAGTCATATATATGATAATGGGTTAATATAAAAAAATATAGGGGCGCCTGGGTGGCGCAGTCAGTTAAGCGTCCGACTTCAGCCAGGTCGCGATCTCGCGGTCCGTGAGTTTGAGCCCCGCGTCGGGCTCTGGGCTGATGGCTCAGAGCCTGGAGCCTGTTTCCGATTCTGTGTCTCCCTCTCTCTCTGCCCCTCCCCCGTTCATGCTCTGTCTCTCTCTGTCCCAAAAATAAATAAACGTTGAAAAAAAAAATATAAAGAATTCATACAGCTCAATAGCAGAAAAGCAAATAATCCAATAAAAAATGGGCAGAGGACCTGAATAGGCATTGTTCCAAAGAAGACATAGAGTGGATCAAGAAGTACATGAAAAAGTGCTCAAACATGACTAATCATCAAGGAAATGCAAATCAAAACCACAGTGAGATATGACCTTACACCTGTTAGATGAGTAGTGTCAAAAAGAGATAATTCCCAAGAGGATGTGGAGAAAAGAGAGCCCTTATGCACCACTGGTGGGAATGTAAATTGGTGCAACCACTGTGGAAGGCAGTATGCAGATTCCTAAAAAAATTAAAAATAGAACTACCCAATGATCTGGTAATTCCACTTCTAGGTGTATATCCGACAGAAACAAAAAGACTACATTGAAGAGATATCTGCACCCTCATGTTGACAGTCACACTATTTAGAATTGCCAAGGCAACTGCAAAGGAAACAATCAACAAAACTAAAAGGCAACCAATGGAATGGGAAAAGATATTTGCAAATGACATATCAGACAAAGGGCTAGTATCCAAAATCTATAAAGAACTCACCCGAACTCCACACCTGAAAAACAAATAATCCAGTGAAGAAATGGGCAGAAAACATGAATAGACACTTCTCTAAAGAAGACATCCAGATGGCCAACAGGCACATGAAAAGATGCTCAATGTCGCTCCTCATCAGGGAAATACAAATCCAAACCACATTCAGATATCACCTCACGCCAGTCAGAGTGGCCAAAATGAACAAATCAGGGGACTATAGATGCTGGAGAGGATGTGGAGAAACGGGAACCCTCTTGTACTGTTGGTGGGAATGCAAACTGGTGCAGCTGCTCTGGAAAACAGTGTGGAGGTTCCTCAAAAAATTAAAAATAGATCTACCCTATGACCCAGCAGTAGCACTGCTAGGAATTTACCCAGGGATATAGGAGTGCTGATGCATAGGGGCACTTGTACCCCAATGTTTGTAGCAGCACTCTCAATAGTAGCCAAATTATGGAAAGAGCCTAAATGTCCATCAACGGATGAATGGATAAAGAAGTTGTGGTTTATATACACAATGGAATACTACGTGGCAATGAGAAAAAATGAAATATGGCCTTTTGTAGCAACGTGGATGGAACTGGAGAGTGTGATGCTAAGTGAAATAAGTCATACAGAGAAAGACAGATACCATATGTTTTCACTCTTATGTGGATCCTGAGAAACTTAACAGAAGACCATGGGGGAGGGGAAGGAAAAAAAAAAGAGAGAGAGAGAGAGCCAAAGCATAAGAGACTCTTAAAAACTGAGAATAAACTGAGGGTTGATAGGGAATGGCAGGGAGGGCAGGGTGGGTGATGGGGGTGCAGATGCCTCTTCAAAATACTGATTTTTGTTTCCTGTGGATATATACACCAAAGTAGGATCACTGGGTCATATGGTAGTTTTATTTTTAATGTTTTGAAGAACCACCATACTGTTTTCCATAATTGTATACTTGAAATCTGCTAAAAGAGTAGATGTTCCATGTTTTCACTACAAAAAAAAGGTAACTATTGGAGATGATAGATGCATTAATTAGCTTGATTATGGTAATCATTTCACTTAAGATGATCACATGGTACAAACGAAATATGCATCTATGAAACTACAGTCAGTAGCAAGAAGTGGTAACACCAGGAGAGTTCTGGGACAGGAAAGCCAGGGAAAAAGGGTATTTTGAGAATGAGTGTAGGCACTGGTTTTGAATTCTTGAACATTAAATGTGATGTCCATTTAAAAATGTCCATTTAGATCTGTTGGAGTCCCTTGGAGTCATTATTGAGCTTAGCAGAGGCCTTTTCTGTGAAGTGATAGGGACAGAAGCCAGAATGGGAAGAGGTAAGAAATGTGAGGGAGGTAAGAAAATGGTTTTGAGGACTGGTGAGGGAAAGATAGGAGAGAGGATGATCTTAGGGGAGTTGGAGCCAAGGAAGGGAGTTATGCTTTTTTTAAAAAAACATGAGAGACTTGAGTATGTTTCATAGCTGATGGGAATAATCCTATTGAGAGGGAATGGTTGAATATCTAAGAGGGAGAAGGATAAATGTGTAGGTAAAAGCTTTACAACTTGAAACTGCTTAATTCAGTATGCACTAGGTCTTAAAATGTATTGATTAGACTAGGAAGAGCAGATTGTTATAAATTGAACTGTAAATTATTTTCTTCTTGGAATATACAAATCTTTGGTAGCATGAAGTTTTATGATGATTGTATAGCTGCCTGGGCATGTCAAAGTCAGATAAGATCCTTTGAATACCTAATATATTTTAATATAAATCATGTATTTGTCTCCTAAAGTCTGCATTGAGGGGCTATTAATTTAAAGTCATGAATTTTAATTAAACTCTGTAGGAAAAAATATTTCACTCTTAAGAAGGAATTTAATAATGATCAATCCTTGAGGTATGAAAGAGTAAAAATGAACCTAGGGGACCAGAAAAAAGAAGTGTAATTCCGTGTTACTTATTAAGAAAATTCAGTCTTTATGTCATTCAAGAAAATTTCATCTCATACATGACTTATCTCTCTACTACTTTTGCAAATTGCATCTACCTATGTGCACGTAAAAAGAACACATTTTTACTTATGTATGGTGTTGTGATGCCCTTAAAAATGTTATCTCAGCTTTAGATTATGAGTGATACTTTGAGAGTACCATCATGTAATGTAAGGGGTCAGACCAGGCTCAACCAATGGCCATGCCACCCTGATCATGGCCTTAGCATCCTTAAGCTTCACCGCCCTGATCTGCAAAGTAGAGGGGATAGGGCCTATCACAGAGGCTGTTGTGGGTTTTATTGTGTAGCATGTATAAGATTCTCCAGTGTAACACGGGAGCTATGTTAAGAGCCTGGTAGGGGCGCCTGGGTTGGTTAAGTGACCAACTTGATTTTGGCTCAGGTCATGATCTCATGGTTCATAAGACCGAGCCCTGTGTTGGGCTCTGTGCTGACAAGGTGTAGGTGGCTTGGGATTCCCTCTCCTTTCTCTCTCTCTCTCTCTCTCTCTCTCAAAATAAATAAACATTACAAAAAGAGCCTGGTAAATGTTAGTTCAGTTGATTTTGCTTTCTGTCAACCACAAAAACAATTTAATAATAGAGGTTTATGTTGCATAGTTATTTATTATATTTTAAGTTAAATAGTTAATTACAAAACATAATTATGAAAATCATGCTATTTCCCCCTCAAATTTCTAGGCCAAAGTATATATGTGTGTGTGTGTGTGTGTGTGTGTGTGTGTGTGTGTGTGTGTGTATGTGTGTTTTAAAGTTTATTTATTTTGAGAGAGAGAGAGAGAGAGATAATGAGTGTGTAAGAGGGGCAGAGAGAGAGGGAGAGAGAGAGAATCCCAAACAGGCTCTGCACTGTCAGCATAGAGCCGGATTCAGGGCTCAATCTCACAAACTGTAAGATATGACCTAAGCTGAAATCCAGAGTCAGATGCTTAACCAACTGAGCCACCTAGGAGTCCTGTGTGTGTTTTTAAACAGACTTCTTTGAGAGGACTGTAAGGCATCTTCTGTTTAAAATAATAAAAGATACCATTTACTGATTCCTTAACTTTGTTACAAGGATTGGGCCAAGTCCTTTGTCATTTAATACTCTGTTGACAACTTTTGAGGGCTTTGCCTCTGCCAAGGTCACTTAGAAAGAAAGTGGGAAGAGCTAAGATGAAAGGCCAAGATTGCCTGACATTTAACTTCTATGGTATATTGTCCTCCTGTGGAGATGTAAGAATGGAGTGATTCTAGGTGCGAGAGAGAAGGGTTATGTATGTCTTGGGGTTTAAGTATGAGTAGAGTTTGGATCTTTAGTTATTACTTGGATTCACTCCTATCATGTTTATTTCTCTCTCTCCCTCTCTCTCTCTCTCTCTCTCTCAATCCCTCCCGTTTTCAGGTGACAGAGGGAAAACAGGAACTGGAAAGAGCATCACAGTTGGCCCGGAAAGTGAAGAAAGAGGCTGCTTCTCTCTCTGAGTGGCTCTCTGTCACCGAAGCTGAGTTGGTACAGAAATCCACTTCAGAAAGTTTGCTTGGCGACTTGGATATAGAAATCTCCTGGGCTAAAGTAAGTTGTAGTTCAGGTTACCTGCCAGTATTATGACAGGGTCACCTGTGGCATTTTGTTCAGGATGTCATTTATCTCCATTTCATATTAAACATAGCCTTTTCTTGTTTCCCATTATTTTTCCACCTCTGTGTGTTAAGAAAGAAGAAAAGAACATTAAAAACAACAATTTTAGGAAGATATTCCTACTTTGATTCCAAAAGCATTAAACTCACGGCTCATCAGTAAGGCCTTTATAGTCATTGAGCTCATGTGGTACTTGAAAACAATCATTGCCTTCAAAATTGGTGACACTTTTTGAGTATTCATTTTTCACAAAGGATTGTGCTGAATTTATTTATTAATTCTCTATAGTAACTTTTGTGCCAGCAACAAATCTTCCTACTGCAAACTACCTGATATAAAGAGCATAGGAACAGAATTAAAAAAAAAGAAAACCAATAAAAGATCTAAGAGTTTTCTGTAGCTCTGTAGTAATTTTGAAATCACAGAGATTAGAGAGTAGATTTGCCAATTCTCCCTTTTGAGGTGGACAAAGAATTGAATAGAACACAAAGTAGTTTTATTTTTAACCAACGCATTCTCTTTTCCTAAATTTATTTCCCAAGAAGCATGTATACATACTAGAGATACATGCTGAGTATAAATGTTCGATACGGTGACAGAAATTTATTTCAAGTCACAGGTATCAGTTTTGACATCTACAGGTGTTTGCTTGTGGGAAGTGAAGAGAAGGTCCTGGGTGATACAGCCGCTTAATTTGAATACTTCGTGGAGAGGACCCTTGAAAGCAAGTCCAGATACGAGGCCGTAGAATCGCTCAAGAAAAGTATAGTTCTGCGTGGGCTGTGTGAGGTGACAAAGTTGTGGAAGAGGGGATGTAGGAAGGAAAGGAAGAACGCTGGAATTCGTGGGTGTGCCGTGGATGATAATATGTATTAATATTGCAAAAGCAAAGGCACCCCCAATTTTTTTTTGTTAAATTTAAGTTTTTCTTTTTTTTTTTTTTTAATTTTTTTTAATGTTTATTTGTTATTTTTGAGAGAGAGAGAGAGAAGGGGAGGGGCAGAGAGAGAGGAAGACACAGAATCCGAAGCAGGCTCCAGGCTCTGTGCTGTCAGCACAGAACCCGATGTGGGGCTTGAACTCAGAAACCATGAGATCGTGACCTGAGCGGAAGTCAGATGCTTAACTGACTAAGCCACCCAGGCGCCCCTGCTAAATTTAAGTTTTTCAAGGAAATATTATCTTCTTTGTACATTTTGAAAGCTGTTATTTTCTTATGTTTTTAAAAATTTATTTATTTGAGAGAGTGAGTGCACACGAGAGTGTGGGAAGGCCAGAGAAAGAGGGAGAGAGACAGAATCCTAAGCAGGCTTCTTAGGATTGTCAGTGTGGAGCCCAACGCATGGGGCTCAAACCCACGAAACCTGAGATCATGACCTGGGGCAAAATCAAGTCAGACACTCAACCAACTGAGCCACCCAGGCACCCTGCCATTATTTTCTTATTAATAACTGAAGTCCTATAGGCTAATTGAATGACACATGCATAGTGTAATTTAAAAAGATAGAAGCAGGGCTCCTGGGTGGCTCAGTCAGTTAAACGTCTTGACTCTTGATTTCGGCTCAGGTCATGATCTCACAGTCCTTGGGACAGAGCCCCCCGTGGGGTTCTGCACTGACAGTGCAGAGCCGGCTTGAGATTCTCTCTCTGTCCCTCTCTCCCTGCCCCACCCCCACTCTCTCTCGCTCTATCACTCTCTCTCTCAAAATAAATAAATAAACTTTAAAATAAGAAGACAGAAGCAAAAATAATTTATAATCCAAGAATATACTGCTTTCATTTTAGTTTTTTATAGGCACATACATACAAACATGCATGGCCACAAACATTTACAAATAATTATATTGTGTCTAATGTTTTTTGACCTTGTTTCGAAAAACCTTTATCTTTAATATTCTACTTGCAAGTATTTTTGTATCACACATTGGAGAGGCATGGTATTTTATTGCGTACTTTTTATTGTCCCATTCCCATTTATTTCCATAAATTAGTGCCAATTTTCACTATTGTAAAAAATGCTGTGAAGCTTAATCATAGCATACATTTGTAATTATTTCTTGAGGAAAAATTCTTAGCCTTAAAAATATTGGCCAAGGGATATATTGATTTAAAATTCTAATACATACTATGAAATTGCCCTTCAGAAATGTACCCACCAGCTGTGAGTGAGAATTCCTACTTGCTTAACAGCAGGCAATATCATGTTTTAGTTATTTACTACATTTTCCAAAGGTTAGAGGCCATTTATAGCTCTTTTTAAAAAATTGCCTTTTTGTCGTTTTGACCATTTTGGTCTTTTCATTTAGAGCTCTTGACCTATTGCAATTATAAATACTTAGTGTGTTGTATATTGTTCCACTTTTCTTAATCTTTTTTATTTTTCATTTATTATTATTATTATTATTATTATTTTGCCATTGCGCTTTCCTTTCTGTTCTGTATGTTTTTTAAACCACTGTATTATGTATTTTTTAAAGAATACATTCATATTTTTCTTCATTGTTTCTGCTTTTAGTGCTTATAAAAGCCAACACTATTCTCTACTCCAAGGTTGTATAACTATTCACTTATATTTTCTTCTAGCTCTTTTATAGTTTCATCTTTTACCTTTAATGTTTTAATCCAGTGGAATTTATTTTGGTATATATCATGAGGTAAGGTTCTAACCTTGTTTTCTGAATAGTTAACCTTGTATCTCAGCACTATTTATTAATTATCATTTCCCCACTGATTTGACATGCTAAATTCTTTTTTTTTTTTTTTTTGCCTGTTGCTTTGCTTCACTGATCTGACCCTCTGAATTGTTCTTCAGCTGTTTAACTATATGGTTTCATGATATATTTCAACATGTAGCTAATGGATTCCCTGTCTTTATGCTTCTGTTTTTTTTATATACTTCTATAAATTTTAGAATTATTAATCTGAAATTATTAAAAAATTCTGTTAGAGGGTGACTGGGTGGCTCAGTTGGTTAAGTGTCTGACTCTTGATTTCAGCTCAAGTCATGATCTCACAGTGGTGAGATCAAGCCCCACATTGGGCTCCACTGTAGGCTCTGTGCTGGGTTCCATGCTGGGCTGCAGCATACTTAAGATTCTCTCTCCCCCTTTCCCTCTGAACTTCTCCTGTTGGAGTTTGCATATGCATGCTGTCTCTCTCTCAAACAAAATTCCGTTAGAAATTTGGTTTGAATTGCCATAAATTTATAGACTTGTTTTCAGGGGAATTAATATCTCTGTTATAATAAGTCTTTTTAGTAACATGGTATGTTTCATTTTTTCCCCCCAATGTTTTAACATTCTATATAATGCTTTGGTTTTTTCCTTCAAAAACATTATGTATGGGTGCAAAGATGTTTATTCCTACATATTTATTTGTTTTTGTAAGAAAAAGTATGCTTTGTCTTTACTACTAATTACTTATGGCTTGTACATAGGTCATACTGATTTTTGCAGATTTAATTTTTAATCATTCATCTTTGTGTACTCAAATCAATTCAGTTAATTTTTTACTCATATCAATTCAGTTAGTTGATTCTCATAATTTTTTAAGGTAAAGACTTAAAATAATGGTATGTTTGTCTCTTCTGGAACTATTCAATTTTAAATTCCCATTTAATCTTATTTCAGGTTTGAAATAATGAAGATGGTAAATACAAGTCACAAATTCATAGCACATTTTTTTCACTCGAGTAAATCAAATGGAACATTAGTATGTAACATAATCACCTACTTTTTCAATACTGTTTTCAGATTTAAGAAACATTAATATTTCACAGCATTTTAATGTATTTACACTTAAAATTTATATAAAATTTTTTCAATGTAAAAATATAATATTTTCATTCCTGAACTTTAATACTATTTTTATTTGATAGCTTAAATATTATTATTTTCAGTGTAGTCATTTTCTTTACAGTAGTCTGTTAGCACAGATAGTTGTATATACTGTTTACATTTAATTTCTTGTTAATTATTTTTATAGTTCTTAAAGACTGTTCTAGTCAATCAGTACATTGCCACTGAAGGTATATAGAAAGCCTTAACTGCAGAGAGAGTGGCTGTGGGTTTTTTTTTTTTTTTCTCCCTTCTGGAGAAGAATATTTTAGTGTCTTTATAAGTATACCAGTATTTGATATAGCCAAGTGAATGTTTAAACCTTGACTGATTTGGGAATTTGCAATTTTTATGCCTTCCAAAATGAAATTTAGTGATGTGAGATTAAATATAAATGAGCTCCTTGAAATGATTTGTTTAAGTGTTGGTTAAAAAAGGTACAATAGCAGTGGGATGGATATGCTTATGTTACCTTCTGATTGAAGCAACTTTATAGTTTTAATTTTGGGATCCAGCATCTTTGCTATATTTCTCTGAGTATGTGTCCTTTTTTAAAAAGTATTTATTGATTTATTGATTTTGAGAGAGAGAAAAGAGTATTTATTTATTTTGAAAGAGAGAGAGAGAGAGAGAGAGAGAGAGAGAGAATGAGAGAGAGAGAGAGAGAGAGAGAGAATCCCATGCAGGCTCTGCACTGGTGGTATGGGGCTCAAACTCATGAGCTGTGAGATCATGACCTGAGCTAAAGTCGGTCGCTTAACCAGCTGAGCCACCCAAATGCCCCTTGCTGAGTACACATCTTGCCTGGTCAAATTTATGAATGTGTGAATCAAGTTATCATTATACCATCCAGAGTATTATTTTTGCCTATGACAATTGTTAACTACAGCTTAGATGTGCTGGTTCTCTTATGATTTAGTTACGATGAAATATTTTTTGTAATTCTTATACAACAGATTAAATATTAAGTCACCCAGTGCAGGGTGTTATCCTTGTAAATAAAGGTAGTATGCATCAGTAGTTTCCTGTAGTAGTCAAGGAGATAAATTCATTATGAAACTTTCAGACTTACGAGTTCTGGAATAGTTCAGCTTTGCCATCTTATAGTGACTGAATATAAAATTGATTCTTTAGGTCTAAAATTGTGATGAAGACACTTGGTGTTTGTGTGTAATAAATGGAATTTGTACTTAAAGTGAACAAAACTCAGATTTTTTACAGCTGAGTTTGTTACTTTTTTGTATTTGCATAATTCAGTGTTTTAATTTTTGTTAGGAATTGAAGAACCCTGAACATTTAATAGGTTGTGGAACATTGGAAACCTTTCAGATATTGTAAATTATCTGGGGGACTCGTGGACTGCCATGCATATATGGAAGAAAAGTTCTTTAAAAATTAAAGTTGGATGAACATTTATAATGTTCTGAAACATCAAGTGGGTGTTGGTATTTTTATTTTCTAGAATATCCTGAAGGATCTGGAAAAGAGAAAAGCTGATTTAAATGCCATCACAGAGAGTAGTACTGCCCTCCAGAACTTGATCGAGGGCAGTGAGCCTGTTTTAGAAGAGAGGCTTTGTGTCCTTAGGGCTGGGTGGAGCCGCGTCCGTACCTGGACAGAGGACTGGTGCAGTACGCTGATGGTATGTTTCAGGATGAAATCTTGTCTCCTTTAGTTGCTGGAAAACCAATACAGCTTTGATTGGAAGTTTAAATCCTGTCTTCTGTGTGTCACAATAATGTTTTGCTTCAAGAGAATTAATTTCATTAAACTACATTTTATTTTTTCATTTGAAAAGATAGTAAATTTCTGGGGTGAAAAATGTCTCTGTTAAGTAATACACCATTTGTGATACACATAGAAATATGTACTTTAATATCTTAATAAGTGTACCTCTCTTGTTATATTTTAATGATTTGGTATTATATTTATTGTCATGCTTTCACAAACCATATATATATATAATACTTATTATGTTCTAATAATGGCATACTAGTTAAGAGCACAGGTTTTAGCATCTCATGGCCTAAGTAAAAATTTTGACTAGTAGCTGGGTGACATTGGTCAAGTCACTTAAAGCTCTCTAAATCTCATTTTTCTCATATGTAAATGGGCATTATTATAATTTCAACCTCATACAGTTTTTGTGAGGATTATGTGACAAGAAACATGTATAAATAACTAGATAGCTATACTTAAAACAACCAGTTTTTGATATTATGGTGTTGATTATGATAATTGTTAAATGTTTTATGTTGTTAGTCTTTAGTTATTCTGCTGTTAATTATTACCTGGATAGAGTGACCTGTTAAATTTCACAGTGGTTTTCTGTTCCTCTTATACTAACAATGAATATGGCAGCCTCCCTCTTTCTTCCCTTAGAGGGAATTTCATTTATAAATTATCATTTTGTTTTGACATATCTGGGATAGGACTTTTTTCAAATTCATAGAATTACTGGGTAATAAATAGAGATAGAAAAAAATAAATTATTGTGTGTTTGAGCATTTACTGGAATCAATCATAATGTGTAGGGCGTTGAAGTTCATGGGATCATGTCTTGATTGGTGAGAACCGTACCCAGAATCGATTATTAAGAACAAAGCTTGGGTAAATTACTTAAATCTTGCTACATTTTAATTCCCCTATATATAAAATTGGAATAAGAGAACACACCTTACAGAGTTCTTAAATGTTAAATAACAAATACAAAACTCTTGGCTCATAGAATATGTTCATGAAATATTTTATACATTCATTTTTATTGTAACCAACTTAAGTCCACATTCTCCCAGCCCTTACTTCTATATTCTTCAGTCTGTACTTTCCAAATTATTCCTTCAAATAATGCCTTTATTTTCCTATTAGAACATTTAACATTAAATAAGTCTGGTGCTCATCAGTTCACCTTTCTTAGAATCCAGATCACTGCCAAAACTTTTCTCATTGATTCTCATTTTCTTTTTTTAAACTATTCTTTCATATTAATGGATTTACAATTTGTTTTCTCGTCTTTGAAATACTTCTCAGTTTTTTTCTAGTTTCCTTTGTCCCATCAAATATAGTTCTTAGAAGTTGTTAATTTCATGTAAGGGCTGCCCCACTCTTTTTGATCAGGTTCTAAATTCTTGCTTTAGCCTCAATTATTTTAATTAGTTTTAATTAGGTTTACTGTTTTTTTCTTGTTTTCACGTTTATTCTCTCGCTCACATTTTCTGTCCTGCTTCAGGAAATGTTACTGAGGTCTGTGCCGGCTATAATTTTAAGTGCTGTTAGCACCAAGGTGACAAGCCACAGGCCTATCCTACAATCAGTTACAGTCCATTGAGCAGGCAGAATCTTATTCAGTGCATATTTTAATAATTCTTTTATGTTACTGCTTTTTGAAAGTTTTTTTAAGTTTATTTATTTATTTATTTATTTATTTATTTATTTATTTTGAGAGTGAGAATAAGAGTGAGAGAGAGAGAGAGAGAGAGAGAGAGAGAGGGAGAGAGAGAATGAGAATCTCAAACAGGCTGTGCACCACCAATGCAGAGCCCAGTGAAGGGCTCAAACTCATGAACCGCAAGATCATGACCTGAGCCAAAGTCGGATGCTTAACTGACTGAGCCACTCAGGTGCCCTTATATTATTACTTTTTAAGTTACTTTTTAAAAAAATAGGTCAAGGGGTGGCAGATGAGATTACTTAGAAGAATGAAGAATAAGGGATACAAACAAAATGAAATTGAAAAAGAAAGTTTCACCTTTTATCTTTCTTCAACCTTTAATAATATTGTATTGAGGTCTAAATCAAATAAATTTAAACACCATTTAACCATAGCTATGAAGTTTTAGGAATGAGACTTATTCACTGGGAAAGAGCTTTGCAGAAAGATGGAAACCTCTTTTGAAATTCAGCATACATTTAGCTTTTTGAAGGTCTTTTAAATGTCTTCTAAGATTATAAATGTCTGAAGTATTGCGTGTGATTGTACCAGCGTTTCATTAATTTCTTTTCTAGAATCATCAGAACCAATTGGAAATATTTGATGGAAATGTTGCTCACATAAGTACCTGGCTTTATCAAGCTGAAGCTTTATTGGATGAGATTGAAAAAAAACCAGCAAGCAAACGGGAAGAAATTGTGAAGGTACCAAGCACAGAGGATCAGTACTTCTACTTCTGGGAATGGAAGATTTAGTGTGGTCTTTTCTCTCATGCTCAGAGTTACTTGTGCACTCATTCTTTCCATGCATTTGATTCATTCATTTTTATTTTGGTGGGAGAAACTAAGGTTTCGAATGAGTCATGTGAGCAGCTCTTCATTACATTGATTATCCTAAAATATTTTCTAGGGATCCAAGAAATTTATTTAAACCACCTCTAATTCTGAGTTAGCATCACAGTGATGTTTGGCTTTGATTTTCCCCATGTGCTAATTTTGTGTTTTCTTACAATCAGCGTTTAATATCTGAGCTGGATGATGCCAGCCTCCAAGTTGAAAATGTTCGTGACCAAGCTGTTGTTTTGATGAATACACGTGGAGGCGCAAGCAGGGAACTTGTAGAACCAAAATTAGCTGAACTGAATAGAAACTTTGCAAAGGTTTCTCAACATATCAAAAGTGCCAAAGTGAGTAATAATATTTTAATATAAAAGTATTTTTCCTGTGGTCATGTGTCTCAATGGTATGTCATTCTTGGGTATATACATCAAAAAATTTTATTATTTATTTACTTAGTTATTTATTGAGAGAGAGGGAGAGTGGGGGTGAGGGGCAGAGGGAGTGAGAGAGAAAGTCTTAAGCAAGCTCCACACTCAGCTCGGATCCTGACGTGGGGCTTGATCCCACAACCCTGGGATCATGACCTGAACCAATATCAGGAGTCAGAAGCTGAACTGACTGAACCACCCAGGCATCCCTACATCACAAAATTAAAAAAAATTTTTTTTTCAACGTTTATTTATTTTTGGGACAGAGAGAGACAGAGCATGAACGGGGGAGGGGCAGAGAGAGAGGGAGACACAGAATCGGAAACAGGCTCCAGGCTCTGAGCCATCAGCCCAGAGCCCGATGCGGGGCTCGAACTCACGGACCGCGAGATCGTGACCTGGCTGAAGTCGGACGCTTAACCGACTGCGCCACCCAGGCGCCCCTCACAAAATTTTAAATTAAAACGATTTTAATGACTTTTTCCTTGAATGGAGCATTGGTCCTTATTTATTTGTGATTTTGCATGTGAAGGAGAGAAAACAAGAAATTAATCTTGAAGAAAATAACCCATTTGAGAAAAGGTGTCAGAGTCTCATTCAGAAGTTAAAAGTGGCTATAAAATAATGAGACTCATTTCCAAGCTAGGGACGAATATTAAACCCATTACTGTATAGTCTACTTTATAAACTTGTGCACACTGCACATGTGTGAAGTCATTTTTTGTGCTTTACATGTTAATTGCATCTGAAAGTTACAAGTAATTTAACAATTTAGACCTAATGCAGAAAGCTATTATCTGCTGTTATAAATTTGAAAAGGGGCTTTATGAATTTAAATAAGAGGATGGAGCCCCTGGGTAGCTTGGTCGAGCATCCAACTCTTAATTTCTGCTCGTGTTATGATCCCAGGGATGTGGGATCCGCACTGAGTATGGAACCTACCTGGGATTCTCTCTGTCTCTCGCTCCCTTTGCCCCCTCCCCCACTCACGCTTTGTCTCTAAGATAAGATAAAAATAAAGTAAAATAAGAGGAGAATAAATAACAGATTTTCTTAAAAAGTTTTTATTGATTCTACCATATTATAGTTTTTTCCCTCTGTGTGTGTCTTACAAATTCTCTTTCCTCTTTCTCTTGTCTAATGAGAGGAGGAAATGAAACATTTTATTGCAGTGTTCTCAAGGCCTGGGGTGTGGCAGGTGCTCAGTAAATGTTAACTTGAAAAGATGAAAGCCTTTTGATGGTTTGCTAGGGCAAAAACCAAAAGCCGCATAGCTCACTTTGGGGGTCATTCAAACCAGCTGTTAACTTTGACAGAGGATTATGAGTTTTTCAGGATCCCAGGTGGGCCCCTGGATTGGCATTTTTGAATATTTGGTTAATTCTACCTCTTGAGAGTCATGTATGGAAATTATCTAGAGGAAGGACCCTGTTTTTTGCAAGAAGTAAATATTATCTAAGTTTGCTTTAATTTGAAATGTCTGACATAAAAGGCCAAACTATCTTTCATAGCTCATGAGTATACTTAGATTATTCACATCTTAAGGAAAACAAGTAACTTGCTTTAACTTTTGTCTTCCTTAGCTTTGACCTTAACTTCCCTACCTTCTGTCCTAAGCTCATTTGTTCCTTTCAATAGATATATGGGAGCATTTTCCTGGTATAAAAGAGTAAGGCATGAGACATAAGGATAGAGTGAGAGGAAGTACAAAGAAGCAAAATCATTATATCCCCATAAATTACTTCTGTCAACATTTTGGCATACATGTCTACTCTTACATGTATGTGATATTATCAATTGTTTATATTGTTTCATAAGTTCTCCTTTGACATGGTTTTCAACAGCTGTGGTGTGTTCCATTGTATGATCTATTATACTTTTCTAAGTCAGTTTTCTGCTTTTAGTGTGCTTTTATAAATACTGAATTGTCAAATCCTTTTACGCATGTCTTTTTTTTATTTTTTATTTTTTTCTATTTTTTCATTGGGGCATTTTTATTTTATTTTATTTTATTTTATTTTTTAATATGAAGTTTATTGTCAAATTGGTTTCCGTACAACACCCAGTGCTCCTCCCAACAGGTGCCCTCCTCAATAACCATCACCCACCTTCCCTTCACTCCCACTCCACATCAACCCTCAGTTTATTCTCAGTTTTTAAGTCTCTTATGGTTTGGCCCCCTCCCTCTCTAACTTTTTTTTTTCCTACCATGTTCATGTGCGATCTCAGAATCCTCCACACTGCACTCCAGGCAGCCATAGTTATTTGCACACTAGTTCACATCTCTGACTGGAGTTTGGAGAAAATTGGTAACTCCAAGAAGCCCAAATAGATAAAGTCATTGCTATATGGATGAATGAAATTAAAGTCAATTCAAATAAGTGCTAGTTCCTCTCTTGACACTCCATCCCTCTGATTAATGCCAGAATGTCTGGTGAAGAATGGATCTTGGGGCGCCTGGATGGCTCAGTGGTTAAGCATCCAACTTTTGGTTTCGGCTCAGGTCATGATCTCATGGTTGTGAGATCAAGCCCCAAGTTGGGCTCCATACTGGGCATGGAGACTGCTTAAGATTCTCTCTCTCTGTCTCTCACTCCTCCCTCACTCCCTCCCTTAGCTCGTCCCCCCCACTTGTGCTCACCCTTAAAAAAAAATGTATCTTTTCAAAGAACACTTTTTCTTCTGCAGTTGCTAATTGGCCAGGAACCATTATCATACCAGTGTCTGGTCACCACCGAAGCACATGAAACTGATGTACTTTTCGCTGACCTGGAAAAATTAGAAATTGACATAGAAAATATGTTAAAAGTTGTGGAAAAACACTTGGAATTCAGTGATGAAGATGAAAAGGTTGGTTCAGGGAGGTTTTCAAAACCATGGTGTTCTTATCGTTCTGTTCTGTGCATTATATTTTTACATCAGTGATGTTTAACCAAAGAATCTGCCAAATCATGCCAAAGGATAGACCCAAATGTGATTTTCTCCTGAGTGTTGTAAGATTTGCCAAGTGATTTATGTAGTGCTTAAGAAAATAGATACACTTTCTGATTAAAGGTAGTATTATTTTAGACGTTCTCTAACTTCTGCTAAATTAACATTCTTTATGAGATAGTTAAAGTCAAATATGAAATGTTTTTTAAAAACCTGAATTTTTGTTACTTATTCAGATGAACAGATTTTGACTGATCTACTTCATAGGTTAGTTCTCCTACTTGGGAACTGATTAGTAAGTGATGCTGTTATATATTTTTCTTTTGAGTAACGTTTTTTTTTCCTATTAAACATTCAGATGGATGAAGAGAGAGCCCAGGTTGAGGAAGTTCTACAAAGAGGAGAACAAATGTTACATGAACCTATGGAGGAGAATAAAAAGGAAAAGATCCGTTTGCAGTTACTACTTTTGCGTACAAAGTACAATAAAACTAAGGTATTGTCCTGGGAGAGTCTCTGTTCTACTTGAAGAACTTACTTAGCTCTTGCCATTCAGATATTTGATGTTGCATTCATGGATACCTTAAAAAATAGGTGGAATAGTATTTATTACTAAATATGTCTATATTTTTGGATGGGACAGGACTCAAAGAAAATAGAAACATAAAATCTTATTATTGGGATCTCTTTTGGACTTTTAATAATGTATTAAATCTAAAAGGCATCTATCCTTTTTAGGAGTGACTTGTTTCAATTCTGTATTTTATATGTGGAGGTCTTGATCGCCTCAACAAAAATTTTAGTTTACAAATAACTAAATTTGTGAATTGATAAATGATGATTTGTAGTCTAGAAAAAGATTCACTACCAGCTCTCTTTTCAGTGACCATCTCCCCAGCTGCATTGCAAGTGTGTTGGTGTTCTCTAAAAATCTGTTCTTAGGTAATCCTTCTAAGAACCATTTTTAGTTAGCAATGTTGAATATAGTAGAAGATTCTAGTCTCTCAGTTTGCTGCCTGTTGGATGTCTCAATCTGTTTGTACCACAAGCTTATAACATGTACCAAGCTAAATTTGTCCTCTCTCTTCCCTTCTAACCTGTGTTTCTTAAGTTATTCCTTATCTTAGTTTATTTCCTTAAACTCTCCATTCTAATTTAAGAATGGGTGGTTTTTCCTCACACTACATCGAGTAGGCATTAAAAACATCACTTCTGAATGAACTAAGATGCTGCAGAACCTGAAGTTAGGCACAGCGCTACCAATTACTTGCTTTATGACCCTGGGGAGATGACTGAATTTCTTAGCCCACTATTCTTTCCATAATTCAGACTTTTAGGATTTTATCCTGTTAGCTACTACAGTGTGTTTCAAGCTGAGTCTGTTTTATGTCCAGTTTTTCTTAACTCTAGCCCATCCTCCATATTGTCCTCAGAATTACTTATCCCAAAGTTGTCACTGGTCATGACATTCCTTTACTTAAGAAAGTGTTGAGGAAAACCTTACAAAATACAGAAAAAGCTTTAAGTGCAAGGTTCATTATGATCATGGTACACTGATGCTTCATCTGACCTCCAGCTACCTCTTCGATTCACTCGCAGTCACCAGGTAGCAGAGTTTGCTGTTTTTCTGTATATTTTCCCAAAGAAACCAGTGCCTTTCCATCTTTAGGGTCTTTTCTAATTTTATTATTATTCTCTGGTGTGGGTTTTATCTCCTTAGTTTACCTGAAAAATGTATTATCTTTTAAGGCTTGGCTCCATTTTTATTCCTAACATTTTTCAGATGATATTGTAGTTCTTTGCTTCACTGTTATTTACAGGTATCTTACTTCCCTAGAACTTCATCTTTGGGTGCCAAATCATAAATCATTACTGGTCCAAAATAGAAATAATTTTTAGACTTTTAACAAATGAATACATTTTTTAAGAGTACTAATATATACCACAAAAGGCTTATTTTATTTTGGGTTCACTAACATTAGTTATTGTAACTAAAATGCTCTTAAAATGTTTGAAATGCTTTTGTCCTTATTTTATTAGCCCATATACTTCTGCGAATCTGAAGTTTTTAAAACTTTCTTGTCTGTAAACATTAGAATCCCTTGGAGGAACTTAAAAAAAAATCAGACTCCCAAACCAGTTAAATCAAAATCTCTTAGGTTGGGCCTATGTGTGAACATTCTTAAAAAAAAACAAAAAACCAAACAAACAATTTTCTAGGTAATTCTAATGTGCAGTCAGAATTTAGAGCCATCAGTGTATAGGTTTTATTTTCTTATTTGAAATGTGTGTTAAATGACCTTTTCCCATTTGTGTTGACTAGGGTATATAGTATTACTATTTTTAAAATCTGTGTGAGCTCTTTATAAAATAAATATATTAATCTCTTGTCATATTTGCTATAAAAGTATTATTTTATTGATTTTTATCTTATAATTATTTTATTTTTAACATGCAACCATTTAAAATTTTTGTTTAGCCCTACATGACTGTGTTTTCCCTTTGTGTTTTCTTTTCTTTTTGCCAGCCTGTTTGGAATCTAGAAAGTCCTTATTTTGCAGAGATGATGACTATTCAGTTCTGTTTAGTCCTGGTTTTCCCCTATGGTTTGATAGAAACAAAACTTAGAAACTTTTAATAAAATTTTCATATAAAATAAACTTTTTCATCTATCTATCTGAAATTTTGGTTCTGTATGACATGATCAACATCAAGTAACACTAAGATTTTAGCATTACTTTGCAGTAGATTTGTATTTTTATGTCTAGCAGAATAAAAATAAAAGTATCCAGAAGTAAAGTCTGGGTCAGATCTTGAGGACTGTTTTTTTTTTTTTTTTTTTTTTTTTTTTTTTTTTTTTTTTTTCTCCTCCTAGGGCATTTTGATTGATCACTCTCTTGGAATAAAACCTATTTTGGGAATCTAGAAAGCACATGTTTAAATTTTGAACTGCCTTGCTGCTTCTTCTGCAAGAGTATGGAGGCTCAGAAAATCCTAGACTATCTTTACAGACTGAATAGAAAAAGGCAGTCTTTAATGAAAGTGATTTTATTTTTAATTTGGAGCTTTCTATTTACAATAACTTCTGACCTTCTTGTTCTTTTGTATTTGCTTAAAAAATATAATTTGTCTTGGACATATGGATAAATATCTGGAATGCTTTCAGACTAAAATTTGAATGCATGGCATTAGTATAACAAAACTAATATTAATTTCAAGTAGAAATAATCTTGTGGATAAAATCAGGACATCTATGTAGGCTTGCTTCTATCCTACTATCCAGGACTGTCTAGCACGAGGTGAAAGCAGTTTATCATGTTATAGGAGACAAATGAATATAGACCTCTAGGTTCAATACCATGTTATTGACTCACTGGTTTTAGTCTTGAGTCTTGGTTTCATTTAGGAATGATAACTGTAAGCATTTTCAGGATCACTCAGTGAATATGTGTTTATGATCATTTTCTCTGCCATCTTTGAATTTGCAAAGGAATATCGTTTTTTAGAAGTTCAATATAGGAAGATAGTGGAAGCATCAGGAAAGCCACCTTAATTCATGAGCAGATGTACTTTGCCATTTGCAAGTAGTAGATGGGCATTTAATAAATTGTAGCCATTTGGAGTAAAGGACTTGAACTGCTGAAAGACTGGTAGCCCATCCCAGAGAGCACTGTTTTTGTTGAGAAAGCTCTGATTAAAGGATGTATTAATAAGTAGTCCACCCAAATAAGTTCACCCAGCTTAGGATCTGTCTGAATTTATGTTAGGACCTGTTGTCTTATCTAGGAGAGTTATGTTCTGTAATATTGTTCTCAAAGGTTAAGATGTTACCCTGAGTTACCTGGGTTATTATTTTATCAAAACCACCACTGCATTTCTTACATTATGAACACATGTTAAACTTACTTATATTTTCAACGGTGAGGCCCAGAAGTGTTTAATCTAATTGTGACATTTTACTCAATGGGTAAAGTAATAACGGTATTAAAATGTTTTATTTCACATAGAACTTTATGATTTGCGGCATATTCTTATTTCCTCAACAGCTCAGGAAAGGAGTTGTTATGTTTTCTTGTTTGCTAAATGAGTTCAGGTGGCCCAAGTCTTAAAGAAAAACCTTTCAAGCTTTAACCTATTTATGCTGTTTAATAGCAGGTTTGGAAGAAAATCAGTATAGAGATTGCTAAGGGTTTCTACAGCAATACAGGGCAAAAATATAAAAAATTAAAACTCAAAATTTTTAATTTGGGTTCATGATATTGAATTGCTGCAGAAAATAGTCTTGTGGTTTTTTTCTGTTTGCTGCTGTTTATTGTGGGTATATTTTAAGAGATGTGCCTTATTATTATTGTTTTTATAGGCAGTCCCTAATCAACAGAGGAGAACAGGTCAGCTTGCTCCTGGAATTCGATCGCCCCCTCCTCCCACAGATTATCTGGTTGAAATTAACAAAGTTTTACTTTCCATGGATGATACTGAATTATTACTTAATGCTCCAGAGCTAAACACTGTGGTCTATGAAGACTTCTCTTTTCAGGAAGACTCTTTGAAGGTAAAGCTCCAGGCACCTCACTTAAATAGCCACAATGAACTTAGAAAGAAAGCAAGGTATCTGTCCTTGTGCCTTTGTAGATGGTCTATAATTTTTAAAATTTGTGCCAAGAAATTAATAATGTGTATGAATAATCAGTCTTTCCCATTTCACCAATGAAATATTATCAAAATTTTAATTTTTCAAAAGTATGTATGCATAGTTATTCTTTGCAACATCAGAAACATTTTTTTAAAGTTTTTATTTATTTATTTTGATAGAGAGAGAGCATGAGTGAGTGAGGGGCAGAGAGAGAGGCAGACAGAGAGAGTCCAAGCAGGCTCTGTGCCATCAGCACGGAGCCTGGTGTGGGCTCACAAACTGTGAGATCATGCTCCGAGCCGAAATCGAGTCGAATGCTTAACTGACTGAGCCACCCAGGCGCCCCAGAAACTTTTTTTTAATCAAACACATGCACAAATCATATTCTCTTTCTTATAAACTTGATTGTCAGTTGATGTAAAATATCAGCATTTATGTTGTCATCTATAACAACTTAAGATTGGCCAGTTGTTGGGGTGTGAGGTATGTTGTTTATAAGTTAATTAGGGATCTAGAAGTTTATAGTTGTTCACAAGACTATTAAATACCACCAGGGCTTTTTCATATAATTTGACTGCACTTATGTATAATTTTGCAATAAAATTGCTATTAGATTTGATATGTTTGATAGCTCATTTTAGTCACTTAAAGATATTTAAAAATATAAATAATTCCAGCTTCAAACACTTTGTTACCTTTATAGAATACCATTGAAGCTTTTTATATGTCCTGTACAAGTGCTGCTTTGAACAACTGTGAGGATTTCTTTTCTGCCATTAGGATATTATGTAGCATTTCTCACATTTTGTTCAATACAGGGTATTATTTTTTAAAAAGTTGTCAGCTTTGATGAGCAACAATTATCATGTCTCATCATACTTTAAATAAGTGTTATGCAAGATAAATTTTTGGTCTTTTGTGATTCTGTTCTTCTGTTTGCTGGATTTTATTAATGTGTGACAATGCATTTGTAGAATATCAAAGATCAACTGGACAAACTCGGAGAACAGATTGCCATCATTCATGAAAAACAACCAGATGTTATTCTTGAAGCCTCTGGACCTGAAGCCATTCAGATCCGGGATACACTTACTCAGTTGAATGCAAAATGGGACAGAATTAATAGAATGTACAATGATCGTAAAGGGTATGTATAAATTAAGTTGATACTTTCTAAAAAAATTTTTTTTAATGTTTATTTATCTTAGAGACAGAGCGCAAGCAGGGGAGGGGCAGAGAGAGAGGGAGA